TAAATATGCCTTAATAAATAAATAAAAATAAATAAATTCATAATATAATGTAGATTCAAAACTTGTATTTCATTCATTTTGAGAAGAAAAAATGAATCAATTTCTTACTTTTGCACGCTCATTTTATAAGTTGTACTTAATTTTAAAAATAAAAGTAGGGGAATGTCGTCAGGGTTGGACACATTTTCGACCCTTGCCTATAATTATCGTTTTAATAAGAATTAAGATCATTTGCGTAAATAGTTTGAAAGGTAAAGGCAAAAGGTATGTCTGACAATGAGCATTATGTTGTGGAATGAAAAACATAGAAATGGCGAGTATTTAAAAAAAAAAAAAAAAATGTAGTCAGGCTTGGACACTGTAGTCAGGGTTGGACACTTGAATTGCTACTTCAGAAAAGTAGCAATAAAAGCGGACATTATCCATGGATCAGGTGTATTTTATGTCTTTTGACTCTTTTTTATTGTGATCAACAAATTTTACAAACAATTAGGACAAACAAAATAACTTTTTCAGGGTCTTCTCGAGATCGTCGTCAGTAACAGTAGAAATGTCCTCATATTCTTCATCTACAATACTTTTTTTAATATATCGCCGCAAAGTCGTTCTAGGCAGGTCATAAGCCCTTGCTACTGTCTTTAACTTTCCTTTCTCCAACTTAACTGCTTTAATGGCCAGGACAGCATTATGCAAGTCGACTTTACCTCTTTTCGTCGTTCGCTTGTAGCGTGAACCTCCTCAAAGGGAGAAAATAAATTATTACTCAAAGAATTTATTTTTTTTTACTTATTTACTAATTATTTCACTTTTTGTTGAATCAAGTAATTAATTACCACTGTAATAACTGTAAAAAACATTGGAAAAATTAAAATATTCTGACAAAAGGGAAAAAACCAAGGGTGTCCAACCTTGACAACAAAAAGTGTCCAACCCTGACAACATGAGTCATAACCCTACCGCACAACATAACTACCAAATCGCTTTATTTAGAACAAATTTTTTTTAGGATTTCGTTAAGGGGGAACCACTTAACGTATTTTTAAACTTACCCTGCGGATGGCATATTTTCCGCTGAATTATGCCACTTTTTTAGCGCGTTCTCGAATACTTTTTTCTTCACTATCACGACACTATGTCAACAAAACAGGAAAATTAACAGTTATGGGATGCGGCTAGGGATGAAAAGTTTCCCACAGTGATAACAATTAATACCACATTCGCACACAGATGGCGATAGTTGGTTTATTAGAAAAATTGCAAGTGTCCGACCCTGACAACTGTCCAACCTTGACGACATTCCCCTATTCATTGAAAGTCTTACAGTAAGTATTCTTAGTTTTTCTAAGTGCCTTAAAATATTAAATGGAAATGGGATGGAAACAGAGGCCCACCAGCAGGTCGAGGAGGCGCCTTGGCGTCATCATAATTTAAATCGCGCCACGCGCACCGAGCGAAGGTAAATATGGAAAATGGGGAAAACTATGCCCCGGGCACTTTGCGCCACCGTCAGACATAATTTTCCAGCGAAACCGAATGAAAATGAGCATTATCCCCGCTCCGGTCGACGGTCCTTGCCGCATATAAAGTCAGTTTTTACCTGTTGATCGGACGGGCATTGGGATTGTGATTCAGATTGGGATTGGAATGGGAATGGGATCCGGATTGGATTGGATCCCGACCTGCGGCTACGGCGCCCGGCGGAAGGTTATGACAATGTTATACGCTAATTGAGCACAAAAACATTTTGAATTTATGGAAATTTTATTACACTGCCAAGCAGAGAATGTTTTGTAAGGGAAATAGTTACGGAAAATGTTTAAACTGAGGTAAATTGGTTGATTTCGAATGGAGCATCGTTGCTAAAAACATATAAATATGTTTAAAAATTCTGTAGTACAATTACTTTAAAAATTATAATGTTTACTTCCTAAAAAATATAACAACGAGTCATCATATGCCAATAATTCATATTATTTTGTTTTTATTATTATTTATACTTGTTTTTCAAAGGGGAATTCAATTTTAAAGAAACGAAATAAATAATCCAAGAAAATTACAACATTAGGCTTGCAGTGTCGTCTTAAAATCATATGCATTCCATGCCTACGTACCCCTTGGTGCCATCCAAGTATTTCTTTGTCACACATGTGTCCCCAGAAGAACATTATTCCCGATTCCTGGCGGTCGCCTCCTCTCGATTTCGTTGGCAGCGCCTTATGACAGTTTTATGGGTCTGGTGTGAGCTGCCCTACGCTACTTTTGTTTAAATGCAGGCAACAAAATCAGAAGACAAAGAGGAAAACAGGGAAATTATGCATAATTTAATTTGAATATAATATATGCATTTTCCGAGCACATTTTGCCGCAACAGGAATTCCTAGAAGTTGGGCGACGGAAGCCGTTGGCGACAGGCTGCCATCGCTCCCCAACTTCGACCCAATCAACAGAAAATATATATTTCTGCGGGGGAATTTATTCATGTTTCTCGTTTTTTATTGTGTTTCACTCGTAATTTGATTTTGATTTGGGAATTTTAATTAATAATCATGTTTTTTGGGGGCGAACGCTTTGAATTTTTGATGAAATATTGTTATGAATGCGCTGCGTGTGCCATGAACATGTAAATTGGAATTCGAATTGGACTCGGAATTAAAAATTGTGTCTGGATGGGGACATCTAAATAGCCACCAAACAATATAATAATAATTTTATGGCTTTTAGAACATCTAATTGGCCAAACAACAATTTTATGTTCAGATCATTTTTTTTTAATTGCTGCATTGTTGTTTAACAGTTTGTTGAATATTCACTCAGGTGTGCAATGATTTCGATAATGGGTTTTTGTTTTATTAGGTTAAAAATGTAGTAAGTAGTATAGCAAACACATGTAATAAATAGTTTAACAAATGAACAGGGCATATTTACTGAATACAATAATACAACCTACTGGCCCACAAACCGTAGACCATCTTACAATACCCGATTAGTTCCCGAAATTTTTTTCTGAAAAAACTTTTCTTTTAAATAACCAAAGAGAACCATTGTCGTCGACTTGAAAGCGGAACTCGTGTATTGCATTACCCGAACCGAAATGAAAAAGGAGGAAAATCTCAATTAGTGAGCACTCGAGAACGTTCTGAAAAGAGCAAAAGACCAGAAGCCGAGAAGGAAATTTGCAAAAAAGATCAATTTTCCAGCGAAACGGAAAGCCGGGGCGCACATTTTAACAGGATAAGATGCGTTTAAGCAAATGAACGCACAAAAGGACAAAGGACGTGAGCCGGTACCGGCCATTGAAGTTGCAGCCAGACAAAGCGAAATGGTCAAGCCACAAAAGGCAAACGGTGCGGAGCAGCTGGCCGAGATGTGAGCAGTAGAGATTAGCCAGGAAAAAAAAGGAGCAGCAGATCCTGAACACAATACCGTTTGAAAGGGAAGAGGGGAAAAAAAAGCGGAAGCAAAGTCTTAAGACGTCTCGCTAGTCGATTTAAAAAAAAAAAATTGAAAATTAATCCAATTTGGCGGAAAAGATACTCCGGCAAAATATCGAAAAAGCATGGCGAATCGAATAAATGCCGCCAAAAACAGCTGGGCATCCTGCAAGGCGGCATCCTGCTGCCAACTTTAGTACAAATTTCATGCTGGCTTTGGGTACTGAATTTCGTCTCTCAACTCGCCGACAGCGTTTGGCAAAAACTGTTGACACTTTCAGCTGTCCTTTGATGTCCTGGTGCTAATATGTTAAGCAGCAGGCAGCCCAAAAGCCGGACCATTCCAAAATTCATGCTGCGAGCCGAGAAATTCCTTCACACTCCAGAGAATTGGGCCTGTCATCGCTGAGTTTTGTCCTGCGGCGCTTTAGCCAGAGAAAATTCGGTGTCTTGAAAGCGTTTCGGTGGGTTCCAAAGACACGCTGTGAGAATATCTCTATCTGGTTTCCCTTCAGCTGAAATCCACTCTGTACCCAAACACTTGACCCACATCTTCGTCCACCAAACTATTTTGCCTGCTCAATCGAATCGCGTAATCGATACTTTGCCCCAATGGCAGGCTTACGATCGATTGCTAAGATACAATGGCGGGGACAAAAGGATTTTCTGCTACATTGAGTTACGTAAAAAGAAAGATCCCCTGCCATTTTTTGAAAAGGATGTCTAGACAGATGCTTTACCTATGTGGGCTCAATCAATTAAATTCCTCTATGTTCAAACAGATCAAAATCAACTTGAAAATATTTCAACTGGAAACCCCTAAACAAAAATAAACCGGCTGCAGTAGAATATAAAAGAGATTATTATGTTTTAGTGAAAAATAAATTTATTTGAATACGCAATTTAAACTGATTCTTTTGTAAAGTTATTTAAAAGTTTTTAAAACTGTTTTAGTAAACAAAAGTAAAGATGTCTTTTAATTTAAGTCATCAATCACCCTTCAATTTTAAAATTTTGTAAAACTTAAAATTCATGCTTAATTTCTTTTATTAAATTTTACGATCTACGATACCAAAAGCAGCCACTTTTACGATCAAATCTCTCAAATATTTTTCATAAAGGGACAGTATTGCATACTTTTCGGCTACCCAATGTTAAGCGGCAATGCATATACAATTTTTTAACTGTGTAAAATGTAGAATATACGTACTTTAACTTAAATATAAAATATATTTTAGGTATTCCAAAATTCCTATATATATGTCGGGACCATGTTTTCCAAAAAAAAACTTGTTATCTAATTTGTATTATTCATCATTAGGCCCAGTCCCAATTCAAAACATAATTCTAGCTGCCGAAATTCCCAAGCACGGCCTAAATATGCCAACCTTGAGTATTCTCCAAAAACCTCGAACTCAATAGCTATGCTAATATTTTGTTAGTTTTTTAATTCGTTCATCTTGGGGTAGTGAAATACTTGGGTCGCACAATTTGCCATACAACTGCCAAATTGGGTATATAAGCTGGAGCTGAGAACTCACTCAGCTTCAAAGGCATCGCCAGCTACGATCAATTAACAAATATGCAGTTCGACAAGGTTTTCTTCCTGTTTTTCGGTGAGTTGAAGGAGAAGTCTAGGAAAAGGATATATAAACTATATAATTTATCTATCTGTAGGTGTTTTGGCCGTGGTAATTGCTGCTACTATGTCCGCGGAAGCTCAGGACAACGATGTGATTAGTGACCGTCGTTTCCGTTGGGATTTTTCCCAAGATTCTGATGACTCTGCTAATGATTTGCAAGAAGATGATTCCGCGGATAATGCCGCTCAATCTGATAACGGTGGCAAGTCCGGCGGACAAGATACCGTGGAAATTATCGAGGAGGGGTCCTTTGAGAATGATCCAAAGCAATCTAAGGAAAGCGCATCCATCGAATCTTAAACATGATTATTTGTTTTAATATCTGTTTTTTAAATAGAAATTGTTTTTATGGTGAAAGGAAAAATTATGAAAGTACAAATCATCTAAATTGTTTTTGACCGCATATTTTGTTTTAAAGGCAAAATGTGTCAGCAATAAAAAATGTTCATAACTCTAAATCAAAATTGGGTTTTCTTCCACAAGATACAAAGATGGTTTGTATAATTAATTTTATTTAACATAATTTAAAGTATGTATAATTCAATTTTAATATGGTTTACATATTTATAGTTTTATTTTGCATTAATTTAAACATTTTATTATTATGCATTTAAATATATTTAAGGTATATTTAAACTATGACTAAACATAAATTTTACATGATCTCTTTGTCACCTCGCTAGTGATGTCGTTCAATAATTTATTTGCAATTTCTACTTAGTTGAACCAAATTTTTTTGGAATGATGGGACACAGGCAACACAATAATAGGATATAGAAAACGCAAAACGCTATTTAACACAATATACATATACATACATTTAATACAGATCTGATATTTTTTATTAATTTTTCCTTCAAGGGGGTCATCGGATTTAATAATTTGGACAGCTCTAGAAAGAGATCAGAGCTAATCGGATTTAAAAACACCTATGATTCTTCTGCCTCGGTTATTGAACAATTGGAAATTGCACATGATTATGTAGATTGCCTGCTGATGTTCTCTTGGTTGGGTTTGCCCTTCAAATGTTGCGTTTTGAGTCTTGTTTTCTCACGGCACACCAAGCCCTCCACTTCTGCGATTTCCCGATCAGCTAGCTCGTCGATCACACATTGCTGTCTGTGCCCACGGCCCCGGTGAAGGAGAAGGGCTGGGCGTTGTTCACAATCCCCGCTCGGTCGTTCGTCTGGGGCGTGGCACCTCCAAAGGTTTGTTGAGCCGCTGCCCGCATATCTTCAGAGGATGCTCTGTTAATATAAATAAACTTTTAGATTTTTGCATTTCAAGATTACAAATCTATAATCTATAATACGAAATAATAGACTCTTTACAAGTGCTCAACTAAAAACTGTGATGTTGCCTACATAGAACCAAAAGGACGAAAGAACAGCCAGAATGTTTAATATCGCACGATGCGTGCAAACTATTTTGCTAAAAAAAAAAAACAAAAAAAAACTAAAGCATCTATAAATACTTTATGAAATACCGGGATCTACAGGAACTAAGAATTTAATATGTGCTATAGACAAAGCAAAAATACATTATTAACTACTTAAGAGGTCCACCTGTGTGAAAGGGGTATTTTAAACTCTATCTCGGGAACTTTTATCATTACATAATAGAATACCAAATGTTGTGTATTTCCATGAATTACGGAAAAGTAAAAGAATAGGTTTTTTCAAAAATTATACACAGGTAAACTCTATTTAATAGTTTACATTTCTCTACAAAATACAAATCTACAATAAAATATTGAATTTAGGAAAAGCTCAAAATGTATTTGCCTTCAGTGATCTCATAGGCGCAGCAAAGTTATCAACGAGTTGTTGTAGCGTAAATCGTATAATTTTGTTTCTCGCTGTTGGCCACCGATTGATGTAATTGGCTTTAACGGCAGGGTTTTGGACAGTTTCATGTGGCATGTACAAAAACATTGATATTTGATTCATGCGCCTTCAATTGTTAACGAAATATTTTACATGATTTCATTTTTAGTGTTGCGTTCATTGAATAACAAATTTCAACAAATTTATTTCGATTCAATATTACTTCAGGTGAGATTATCAGTTTCCATCGAAGGCTATATGTAACAAATTCTTGCGAGTATTTTTCAAATAAAGCCTGCTTAAAGTTATGATAAATAAAGATACAATAACCTATAATTTTAACAAATTTGGAATGCTTCTTGGGGGAAGAAAGCCAAGGGCAACAATAGAAACAATTAAGAAGTTTTTCTCAGACTATCAAAGTTAAAATGGTTGGAATAAATACTTATAAATAACTTAGGTATACCAAAAAACTAAAGACACATATTTCTAGCAAATGAGAAATAATACGAAGCCCGATAAAGAAAACCTATTAACCAAGTGATTGTCTAAATTAAAAAGCTTCTAAGAATGCCTAGAAATTTAAATGGACATTTCTTGTTTACAACATGTAAAAAATAGAACTGGTAAATCCTCAACTGGTTGTATATATATCTATTTGTATGCTTGATTATGTTCAATTTCAATTTGTGGCTATCTTGCGAGCAAATTCATTCTCAAACAACGTTTAACATTTAATTGTATGGTTTACATTGAAGCAAAGCATATAAAGTTAATACTTTCTGAGTTGTACATATTGCTCTAGTTTTCTCGATTTTCACTTTTCCATATCATCAGTGGCTTTTCATTAGCTTTAGCTGTGTGTGAGAGTGTGTGGAAGCTGTGGTTTACTTATAGGTTTCTTTTGCGTTCGGCTAGCTTTCAAATATAGTTTCTCACTAAAAATATATGCTTGCTGCAGTACGACATGTGTATTACGTTATTGTTATCAGTAGTTTCTCTATGCGTATAATATATTTAACTGTAGTTTTTAACAACACCAACCGCTCGACGAAAGACATTAAAAAAAATTTGAATACGAATACGAAGGACATGCAAAAACGGACGAATGACAAAAATGCATTTGCCCAAAAAACACTTTGATTACTAACACTTTCGGTTTCAACAATAATGAGAATTTCGTTCAATTTCTTTTTGTAATTGGTGGGGTGTTCTGTATTCTAGTTCTCTGATGCCCTACAACGCTGATTTTGTTTGTCTTCTAGTTACATTTTTCCTTGGAACGAACACTAAAAACTAGGCGCCGTAAAATATTTGTTACTCGATCAATTTCTGCATCGTTTGCAATTCTAGTGGATTGTTTTGTGTGTGTGTGTGTGTGTGTGTGTGTTTGGGTGTATCTGAGTATCTGTATCTGAGGGTGTGAGAGTTGTGGTTTCTTTTTGGCAGTTACTAATCGCGCGACTGGGCATTTATGTGGGGCGCCAGACGTCTGGATCTTCCATGAGTGTGATATGCTGATCGCCGCCCATCTGCATCTGACCGCCCGCCTGACTGCCGGCCATCTGTGTGGGCGATGTGGCAGCGGCGGCCATGTCCTCCCGAGAAGCTCTACGTATTAGTTTATATTTATTAAGCGTTTTCACAGTGGCAAGCACATCGTGGGAATATAAAGAAAACAATTGGTTTCGATTAGCAAAAATGGCTTAGCTTAGCTAACTAATTTCACACGCTCCTCCGCTCACTTAGCAACTGAACTAACCCCCAGATTAATTATAAAAATCGCGTTAAAATTCTTTAAACGTTCCTTGAAGAGTCTTTTCGTTTTGAAAAAAATTCTTGGACGTTTTAAATTTCATAACGATTTTTACCATAGTGACTAGTACCCCTTACTCACTTCTTGCCTAACGCCATCATTCCATAAACCACGCCAGTGCCGAAGATCAGGCCACTGCCGAATAAGCTGGCCAATCCGAAGCACAAGATGATGGGCGGACAAGCCATGCTAAAAATTGAATAAACATTAAACAACGAAGTTTTCACATTACATTATTAGCAACTCACGCAATATAAAGTCCAGCCCGGAAGTACAGGGGCTTGGAGTCCACCTTATCCGCGATCATGTTCACCTGCTCGAAGCAGACGAAGCAGCAGGGCGCTTCCAGTAGCATTACCACAAATCCTGCCACCATTTGTATGATTCCCGCCACAAGGCAGGATACACTGAGTGTAAGAATGGAGAACACATTCCACAGGCCAAAGAGAATGGCAACTGAAAGGAGGTAAATGTAAATTGGATTTAATATAGGTAACTATTGTATAAAAAATAATATAAGCTTAGGGAATAAGCAGGCCTTAAACTGATTAAATTTTTAAACAGCAATAGTAAAAGTTTTGAACTTGGTTGATTTCTAATGAAAGGCGTATTTCCTTATCTGTTAGCACTGACCCAGGAACTCCTACAAAAATGTTAATCACATTAACCCACTAGTTAAAATTTGGGAACGCAATCTAATCTACTTCGCTGACTCATATGTGTGCCAATTTTGAACTTTTATGTGCCCACCTCTCTTTTATTTATAAATTAACAACAAAGCCAGCCATAGAAGCGTAACAAAAAGCATCGAAAACAGTTGGTCAAATTGTTACTAGACGTTTATGGAAAAAATGCTCCAAATTCAACTTCATATCGCTAGGGGCGTACAAGCTAACTACATTAGAATATTTTATCAGCTGCTTTTCGTCTATGATAAAAGCATAAACAAAGAGTAAACAACACAAACGACTTTAATTCTAAGATAAATAAATGGCTCGACGTAATAATTGGATACGGGTAGCTGGAAAAAGTACTCTAGAAAACGAGGGAGACCACGACTTTTCTTATTTAATAAAGATTCCTTTGTAAGTTTTTTCTTACGTTTTGCGAAATTCGATCTAGGTTTTGAGGTTATTGCGGTTCATAAAACCAGACAAAATGACCCAACTTGGGTTAGAAGTCATTGTGCTCCACGGCTTATAAAATTGTTTATTAATCATAGACTTTTGGTTTTATTTTACAGAAGCACAACCGGTTCATTGTAGAAGCCGCACGAGTGAGTTTGCTCCCTTAATTGAGGTATTCAGCTATTTATATTGATTTTAAGTGGATACTGTTTGTTTGTTGGACAACAAGTGCTTGATAGAAATTTCACCATTTCCCAAGTGAGAGAAACACATTTCCAGAAAATTAAATTGCATATACACAGATAACAAAGAAAATACGCAAATCAGTCGAAACAAAGTTAAAAACAGAGAGAGGCAGAGAATGAAGCAAGGGATGCTGATAAACAAAAGGCTGTGTGAATTTTGAGTGAATGACCAGAGAGAATTTCATTTGTTATGGAAAAAAAATAGAGCGCCAAACTTGACACAGAAAACCTACTTCACACTTTTTCCGATTTTCCACACACAGAAATAACAGTCCAACATTGAAATGAAAAATAAATTGATTTGTTAAAAAAAAACTAACAAAATTAAAAATTAATCTAAGTTTTTTTACATATTTTTTTTTTATCAAAATAATTATATGAGTATAAAAATACTCAACAATTGTAAACATTTATTCCTGTGTACGAATTTCTGTATCCTTTTTGTGTTTCCTTTCTCCGCTTTCTCTCACTCAATTTCTTCCTTTATCAATGTCAGAGAGCGTGCGTACACACACACATGCACGAACACAATCCAACACACTCCTACACCTACAAATAGATAACAGCAACAACAACGGTTGGTACACAAAAATCGATGCAACATATTTTTGGGCCGCCCAATGTCACGGCTGCTTTTCTTATTTCTTTTGTTCTAAAAAGGGGTTTAAAAGATGGTTCAATTTTACGCTAAATATGACTTACAGAAGGCGGCCACAATGCCCAGTAGTCGACTTCCATATTTGAGATACCAGGGCTGCTCCGGTCCAATTGGATCTTGTTGGTTTGGCCGTGCCAGCAGGCCCGTTATCTTTTCCGCAAACGACTGATCCAGGAAAATTACATCGGAAAACGTGAAAAATCGAAATGCAATTAGGAAAAATCGAAGCACAATTTTGTATTGTGACGCGGCGGCCGCTTTTTTTTACACGCACACACGGCCTCACAAACGCACACAATGTAATTAATGCGCGGCTCACACGTACACACGGCCACACGTCGCTGCGTCAGCATGTTAATACCTTTATTCGCCCTTATTGCGTTACAGCTACCTACCATGGCTATTTGTTTGGCTAGTTAACTGGACTTAAGCTAATTTGAACAATTATTATGTGCACTTTTCACGTCACACCGAACGAAAAAAATCCTGTTGTACTTTGCGTTCTGGTGCACAAGTATCGAACTGGTTCGCGATTCTGGCTGCCGTTGCGGCATATCGATAAGTAGTGGGTATCGGCACTACTAGTTCTCAAGAATCTGATTAAAATTGAATTAAACTAAATTTAACGAACATTTAAAAAAATGGCATTTCCGTCCCTTCTTTGTGATAAAAATGTCTTAGAATAAGTAATTTCATATCTCGCAGAAAAAAGTATCCCATGTACATTTGGTAAAAACGGAAAATGACGGCTGAAACGGAAAATGGAAAGATTTAAAGGCTATTGTCATCCTCGCCTTTAAGGGTTCGACAAATGCATTAAAAGAAACAAATTTTTCGTTTTTAATAAAAATTGCAACTTATGCATCAGCAGTGGAATAATTTAAAATCACAAAAGAACAAGGAATTAGTTGAATAGTTTATCCCTCTTCACTTGACTAAGATTAAAACACTAAAAAGCTACATACATTCTGGGACATCGCCAGTTATCATATCGATACATTTGTTTACCAATGTTACTACCAGCTCTTTATAGTGGTGTCCAAATTATCGATAGTGCTTGAAAACCAGCGATGTTTTAGATTTTAGAGCTTCATCGATAGTATCGATTGGTAAACATCGATGGAAACATTGATTATTTGGCAGCTATAGTTTATCAATAGAGTTTTTAGAATAAGTAATTAACAAAAATTTATTGAAAAATGTCTGAAGAAGGACTCTGTAAACTATGCAAGGAAAATCGGGCGTTTGATATCGACCTGGAGAAGAGCAAATTTAAATTGGCCAACAAACTGCTGCAAAGACTCTTCGAGAGCTACAAAATTGATGTGAGTTTGATAGAAATTCTCCTATTCTCCTGTTTAAGTACTAACATGCATTTTTTAGGTCACCATCCTGGGAGACAATTCCTGCATTTGTGAACAGTGTTTTAACGAGGTTTTACATATAACTGAATCCCTGGAAAGGTGGAGCAAAGCACAAAAAGAAATTCAAGAAAAACCCCTTGACATAGACGACTCCATGGCGTTTCAGGTGAAATCGGAGGTTGACTCTTTGCAGGATGAGGGGGAATTCCCCCGAGAAGATGTCACTGATCTGCCGGATGAAGATCAATTGGGTCAAAACAAAGAATTGGAACTGGTAGAGGATGAGCTCTTTGATCCCACGCCTCAAGATTTCTTTTCCGTTGGTCTGGCACGCGATGGTCTGGCGATAACCAAGTTATTTAAGGACAAGACCAAGACCACTAGGATGCTGTGCACCTGTTGCGATCAGGTCCTCGAAATCCTGTCCCACATCCGGATGCACAGTGGAAAAGCACGGCCAAATCCTGTCTACTATTGCCGTGAGTGTGGCTCGGGTTTTCCCAAACTTCGCGAACTTCAAACGCACATGACGACAATGGACCACTTTAAGACCAGTGATGGGGGCAGGGATCTGGAATTCCTTTGCCTAAAATGCCACCAGCTATTTCCACGATTCTTCGATGTCATTCGGCACGAAAACAGCGTCCACAATTCGTTAGAGTACTTCTGTATGGAGTGCAACATGTATTTCAAGTTCCAAAGATCCTACAAGTGTCACGTAAAGCAACACGGAAACATGGAAACGGTATTTTCCACCGCGGACCACGAACCGAAGATATATGAGTGCCGCTATGGGGACTGCGATCGAAGATTCCGTGTGTGGGGACGATATGTGCAGCACATGAAGTGGCACAAGGGTGCACGAAACCTCCATTGTCCCTATCCCAGGTGTAAAGAAACGATTCAGCCCGGCCATTATATGATGCACATGAACTCGCGACACAATCAAAATGGTCGATTCATGACCATTGATCCCAGGAAACGGGTGGAGCCCGATACCCGCCAGGTGCCATACGTCAGGAGCCAAATGCGACCCAGGGAGTTTCGCAATCTTTCGGAATCTCTTCTAACTGATTATTCCGGCGGGCAGTTTATAAGTCTGGACAAGGAGTTAACTTTGCAGCAGGGAAAATACATAAATGTTGACGGCAGTGAATGCACATAGCTACCATTAAGTTACCTCAGCTAAAAAATAAATAAATTAGTAATTTTATTTTAAGCAACCCATAAGAAACTCTCTTAAATAACAATCCCAGTTAAGTAAATGAAAAGCAGGTGCTTAAAACTTGGTACATCAATTTATTGCCGGAATTTTGGGGGAAAAATATGGGAAATATATATTGCCACAAATTAGTTATTTGATAATCTTTTTACGTTACAATTGTTCTGGATTGGAGAGTTAACTTTGTTTTTCGTTTTTTTGTAGTTTTGGCATTATATTCTACGAATTGTATTTTGATATCGTATGATTTTCAAGGAGGTGTTTACACAAGAACAGAATTGCTCAATCTAAAAATTTTGAAAGTTAAATTTCTTCTCTCAAATTATTTTTTCGGTTATATTTTTTTCAAGAAATCTATTCTGGTGTACCCAATTCCTCCATTTTTTGTTTTGGACGTGTTTACAGATTTGTTTTTCGCTTTTGTTTTTTATCGGATACGGGGGTTAAAATGCATAGCAAATTTAGCTTGGAGCGAGTATTCGGATCGTCGGGCGGTGCAGACTTCTGGTGTTGGCAAGATTTCAATTTATCAAGTCCTCACTCGTCCAACGTTCTCTTAAATTTAATGTTGTCTGTTGTTGATCCGGGAGCCCTTTACTAAAGTTAATTAACGCTATGTCTATGTTTTTTGCACAAAAAGTTTAAGTAAAAAATAAAATATTGTTTTCGGGTTTGAGGAGTTTAAGACGATTGCAATTAAAAGGTGTCGGATTGGACTGCGTTGAGTTCCTTAATTGAAATATTTCACTTTGCTTTGTATTTTGATTCTATTTTTACAACAAAATTTGAATTCTGAGGTTTCTGGTAATTTTTTAAGCTGTGTAAACAATATTGTTCTTGTTTTATATTTGCAGAGCTCTTAAAATACGTGTAATGAAATTAATATTTTTTAAGAGGTCTGTTTACTCAAGAAAACAAATTAAAGAAACGGACTCGAAGCAAAAGTTTTTTTGTGTCAGGAAGCAAGTGGTTTCTTTTTTCTGACAACAAGAACGAGATACCGATTATTGGGAGCTCTGGTAATTTGATATTTATTGCTTGCTGGATAAGTTTTTTGTTTTGCCAAGACAAATGTCCAAGGAAATAAAGCTTTTTTGTACAATAGAGGAAAACAATTCATTAAAATTTGTGAATCAAAATAATTTGCCAATTTCGTTGGGCATTTGTCTACGACGAATGGAAACCTTTTTTTGAAAAATTTCCAAAAATATAAGTTTTAAATATACTTTTTTTTTTTAGTAAAATGAACAGAATCCAAATTAAAATGAGAAAAGTTAAAAACAAATTTTGCTGCTTAATTGTGAACATGTAAAATAAAAATTAATATGGCTTTTCAAAAAGCTTTAAAAGTCAGTGGTAAAAGATTGAAAGCAAATGCAAACTTCTTTCCGATTTTGCTTAAATAACTAGCATTGAATTGTACATAAAAGACCGAGTTACAGGGAACTTCTTTTGATTTTGGTGCTAAAACTCTGAGATTACAACTTTGGAGACGCTGCTGATCATTGCTTAGTCTAAAGATATACGCTAATAGGCAACTGTTTCACACGTTGGAGACTACGATGATTGATGGAGAAGTTAGTTAACATGTTGCGACATGCTTACGAATTATAGGAAACTTGGCTCGGTAGAAAAGCTTAGTTATCAAAAGACTTAACATTTCTTAAAAGGCTTTTCTTCCTCATTCTTACGCACTAGTGGCTCACAAAAATATACTCCTTTGCTGGTTTTCATAAAATTACAAATCGCTCAAATACTTTCAACTTACTTCGTGTATATCATACAAATTTACCATGATTGAAGACGTTTTAAGCATTCAATTTTAAACTAATTTAAATTCGTTAAATGTTTTGCTTTCTCATATTTAGCTTTGCATTCCCCAAGTGGTCAAGAATGCATTGACGAAACGTTTTCTGCTAAGATATGCCTGATATTGCCCCTGATTGTGGGGAAAATGGGTATCAATTTTGAACGGTTTGTGCGGGGCCCTTTTTGATTGATTAAAATGGTATTGTTTGTGGTTTGCTTATAAAAGTTTTTGTAGTTGCCAGCCGTTTGTTAAGATCACAATTGTGCTAAGAAATACTATATCACAATTTAATTATTTACATTGTTATTATTTGTATTCTTTCTTACACATCTCTCTCTCTCTCGCTCTCTCGTCCATCGTTCGTAGGTGGGGCGGGCAGTAAGTAATACGGCCCAGAAACTTTATTTGCTTATCATCTCATTCTCGCCCCGCAGAAGCGTTTTGTTGCCCTTGTAAAAAGTCAACGGTGGACTCTGAAGTTAAAGCAAAACGATCCGTACTTTGGGGCGGTTTAAAGCTACGCTTTAGTTAAGTTAGATTTAGTTTGTTGGTTTTCTCTAAAAATACATTCAAACGGCGAGCACTCGGCTCGAAGTAGGCTTGGTTCACTTGGCTCACAACAAACGATTTTAGCTTATACAAGAAGGATTCTAACATAATTATACTCAATCTGTTCGTTTGCACTCGGATCTTAAGGCCGAGTAGCGATTGTTGTGTTTTTACAAAATATTACTTTACATGTGCTGAGCGGAAGACTCTCGTTTTTGTTTCTTTTCTTTTTTGGTATGAAAACGTGTTGTTTTTTCGTATTAAAAATGTCCTATACAATTGATCGCATTCAATTTTTGAATTTGAGTTTGAGTGTGCTCGCAGTTCCCTAATGTAGAATAAGTGTGGAAAGTTGAATCTCCAGTTAAGAGATCGGGAAACTTTACTTTTATACATAGTCTCCAAAGCCTAGGACTAGACATGATTAGTTGTCTATAGTGTTGGTAGTTGTAGAGTTAGTTTTATAACAAATGAACTTGTTAAATGCAATTGGCATGCTTTCATTTTGTGGCAAGTCTCCAAAGTTTCTGTCCCCCAAAGCGCGAGTTCTTCAACTCCACAGAGCCTGCTAAACTATTCGGTGTTCCCGGTAACTTGATCTTTTGCTGGGAAATGCAACGATTGAGAATTTGAAAAGGATTGAAAGATTTTTGACTCGAAAGAAATGAAAAGTTTAGCAAAACACATTTGCTATGAAGTTCTTGGTGAAGGAGAAATTCGTCCACGAATTGAAATTGGGCGTAAAGTCAGTGCCCAGCTGCTGCTGTTGATGTTGCAACTGCTGTTGCTGCAACTGTTGCTGCTGCGGCGGTTGCTGCGACTGCGCTCGCTTCAGAATCCTCAAGTTTGTGCCCGAAGCCATGCGCTGCAGCTTGTGCATGTCCTGGGCATCCGGGGCCGTTGGTGTGGCTCCTGCGGCACTGCCGGCTCCAAAGTTCAGCGAAACCGAAGCTGGTCGTGGTCTTTGCTGCTGCTGTTGCTGCTGTGGTTGCTGTTGCTGCTCGTTCTTTGGTGTCTTTTGAGCTGCAGCCGCTGCCGATAGCATGGCTATTATATCAACGCTAGTTGTGGACTGCTGTTGTCCCAGAATCTTAATTGGCTGCTGGGGATTGCATGGCTTCTCACTTTGGGACATGGTGCGCAACCTCTGTTGTTGTTGTTGCTGCTGCTGTTGCTTCTGCGCCTTAGCTGCCTTAAGTTGTTGCTGCTTCTCCTTGCGTATTAAATCAAAGGAGCTGACAATCTGCTAAATAATCAGTGGTAGGACAAAAGTACATTTTAGACAAAAACCAAATAGACTCACCTTCTCATTGCTTGCCGACTGCTGTGCATCGTTCTGACTTTGGCTATGGAACAGTTGACGCTTCGAGGATATTGTGCTGCCGCCGCCTGATCCATTCGGCATGGCTGCCGTTGCTGTTGTTAGTGGCGTTGTTTGATTGCTGCCCGCAGCCGCGTTTTGTTTATTGCGCTTCCCATTGCTATTGCAGATGTTCATCGGATTGATGGCAGCGGTGGCTGAGGCGGGGGCTGCTGCTGCTGATCCTCCCGCTCCCGGCTGAGCGATCACCACCTTGCCATTGAGATTATTCAACTTGACACCATCCAAATCCCCCATGGACTTGTGTCGCTGACGCCGCGAATCATTTCGCAGTTTGGCGGCGTCCTTCTTGCAACTCCCATTGATGTTTGTGGGAGAACCCGCTTTCGGGGGAGATTGCTGGCCGGAGCACTTGCGACGACGCGGCTCGATACCGGCCTTCCGTTCGCCCACCCACTTCTTCAGGCGCTTCACAAACGGCATGATCATGAAGAAGGAGTTGGAGTTCTTGCCCAACTTGGCCTTCGATATGGCATCGTTCTTGTTCACCGGCAGCGCATCTATGCGGAACCACTCGCAGCACTTGATCTCGTTGCGGGTGCGGGGCGCGAACTGCGTGTCCAGCGGTATGTTGCGCACCACGTACAGCCGCGTGTACTGGTAGTTGATGAAGGCTTCGATGTAGTCGTTGGCATCGATGGTGTCCGTGATGTCGAACCCGGTCTCCTCATAAACCTGCAGGAGTTCAAATAATGATCAGAAAACATGTTCACATTCGATTGATATTCTTATAAAATATACCCATCCTTCTTTTCTGCCTCAAAAAGAGTTAATACGATAGTTTAAAACCCAACTCAGAATATTACTAAAAACCAATCCGTGAGCATTTGTTAATTCTATGCATTTTAAATATATTTACAAAAATGTTTTAATAAATCATTCAACAGCATATCAACAATACGAACTTAGAGGATCGAAATAAACCAAAATAATCCCACTTAGTATTTGCTTATATTCTTGACTTGCCTCTCGAGTGGCACAATGAGCTGGGTCCTCGTTCTCGTTTATCTTGCCCTTGGGGAAGCCCCAGGAGTTGCGAGCGAAGTAGGATTGCACTAGCAAGCAATGATTGTGATCCTCGGACACCAAAATAGCTCCATATGTCGGCACCGACAGCTTATAGTTCTTCCACTCTTCCAGGATTTGATCCACGGTGCCAAAATATTTGTTCAAAAAGGGAATGTGCTATTGGAAGGACAACAAAAGTTATAGATTTCGAGTGAAGCTATGTACCGAATATAAATCTCACTTGGAACAACTGCATGGCAAATTGCTTGATGCCCACCGTCGGCAGCTTTCTCTGCACACACTTCGGGGTCTCAGCATCCACACCAGCTTCAGGGGCACAAAAGAAATCCAAATAGAACCAATGGGCCAGCTCGATTTGGAAACACATTCGTATTAGATTGTTTAGCTCCATGTCCGGTACATTGATTATGAACCGACTGGCCAGATCATCAAGTATATCGGACGGAATTTTCGATTTCTCTGGCAATTTAATGTTGGACGCCTTCGTGGTGTTTGTTCTTGGTGTTAATTTCGATAATGCGGCAGATGCTGCCAATGTTGCATCCTCCGAGGAGGAGCTGCCGTACGAGGAGTTCGTTGATATCGATGAGTGGGTCGATGATATGGATGAGTTGAGGCGTTGTTTCTGTGCGCTGCATTGCTGCTGTTGTTGCTGTTGTGCATTTTGATGTTGCTGCTGCTGCTGCTGTTGATGCGGCGTCTGCTTCTTCTTTGTCTCGATGGCAATGGGCGCTGTGGGCGTGACGGTTTTGGTGAAAACAGCTCCATTTTTAAGCAATTGGTTCAATACATCATTCTCGCTTTTAATATCGAGGTTTCGTCGTTGTGGTTGCTGTTGCTTTTGTTGCTCGTGTTTTTTGATATCGCTGCTGTGGTTATGGTTGTTGTTGCTGTGCTGACTATTGTTGTTGTTAATATTTAGCACTTTTTGTAACGTCAGCGAAGCGAGCAGCGCCAGATTGTTGACTTGAAATAAAAAAAAACAAACACTTGGAGATAAGAGAACGAGCCAGAAATTGATAGTACAAAAAAAAAAAACAAAGTGAGGTAATGGAACTACGAAAACCGCTAGAGGATATCTATTTTCCGTCTGATGTTTTGATTTCACTTTTTATGTGACCTTGGATGGTGTCAAAGAGGCTGAAATTTTGGGTAATTGCCAGCTGACCAAAACTTTTTTTGTTATTATCAAAGAGAAAAATCATAAAAACTTTTACATTAAAAAATTGACAAGTTATTTTTGATAGTTACTATTCATTTCATTATGTAATCTTTTGTGTTAATCTCATCCGTAAACTTCCTTTGAATAGTTGTATCTTTATTATTATTGGGTTTCCTGTTCAACAATTTGAATATGTAGTTAAAACAAGTTTTACAAATTGAGCTGATTGATTTATGGCCTGCCTAAATTGTCTACCGAATGTTTTGTAAACTCAAAAATGTTAATTAGCGTTCTTACTTTAAAATGTCCCTCAGAAAGTTAACAACGGTTTTGTTTTTAAAGGAGAATTAATTGATAAGCTGCAACTGTAAGTGACTTAAAATAATCTTTAAGACTATTTGTTGCCAAGCTGTCTAGGAATTGGAGGCAAATGCTATTGAAGCACCTTGGCAAACTGCTGAGTAATCGCAATCACCCGTTGGATGGCCGTTTGGCCAATGATCTGCGCTGCCAGTTGCGCAACAACAAAAAGCGAGATAAAAGGCAAAACTACTACTATTACTCCGTTCGCTTGGCCTCTAAAAAACAATTGAAAAGAAAAACTCACGGCACAGTTCACCGACCTCAGTTGAAAAGTGTTGCAACATGCACATGGATACTACTCGGTAGTGTGGGTGAGTATTTGTGCAATGTGCACTCAGCACTACAGTCCGACCTCTATAATCGGAACTATAAGGTACCTCAACTAAATCGACCATGCAAACAATATTCAAATTTTCGTATCAGTTTCTTTCATGAAAATAAATGATATACAGTTTGCGCTCAACATGTGTGTGTGCAATTTTCCATTCCAGCGAATTTTTTAAAAAGTATAGTCGGTTAACTTTTTCCATATGTATATTTTTTTCCTAGTTTAGCTATTTTTGCAGATTGCTTTTAAAGTTCTGAAGTCGTAATAGAAGTGTATGGAAATGAGTTTAGGCAATATGGACAAATAAGTGTAAAGTTGTTAAATAGAGGAATATGCGTCGTAGAAAAAAGAACATGGGGTAGCGACTGTATCTCCTGATTGCTGTTTATGGTTTATTGCGGGCCTACTCTGAAGCCCCTCTTATCATCTGGAGCTCCGCTTACCGTTATCATTTTCCTTGCTGCTGCTGCTGCTGCGCGTGACGCTGGCAGAGGCAGAGGCGTTGGCGGAAGCAGCGACTGCGGCAGAGGCTGTGACGACAGCGACGGCGTTATTGATCAGAGGTGCAATTTCCATAATATTTCGATATTGGGGCGCTCTGTTTGTTTATGTAATACACTTTATTGGATTTTTGTGTTTGTCTTTTTTGCAAAATATTTTTGTTTGTTTGTTAATTCACGTTCGCGTCTCTCTTGCTCTCTTTTAGTACGAGGGTATGTGTGAGTGCAAGAGTGTGTGGGTGTACGACTATGTGTGAGTGTGTATGTAAGCGTTTTGTCACGTATATTTACAACGGCGTTGTTTTTGTAGTAAATATGGCTGCCAAGTTTCGAAAATTTTTGCAATCGACCGCTTTTGTCGCACGAATTTTAATTTCCAATGCAATTGCTTTACTTGTACTGTATTTAATTCATCGAATGCTTTACATTCTAACGCTTTCGCTATTGTTCTCTTGTTTTTCGTTCTCTCTGTGGTTTTCTTAACATTTTCTGCATTTGTAATGGTTGTTGTTGTGTTAGCTATTGCATTTTCTGTTGTTTTTGTTGCTGTGTCGTTGTTGTTGTCGTTCCACTCCATCCACAAATAATTGAGTGCGCTTCACTTTGGTGCGAGCGAGACGGAAAATTCTTCGCACGCACACAATCTCACTTTTTTGCGTTTTCTTTTCTTGCTCTTTTCACGTACTTTCCACTTTTTAATCTCGAATTAATATTTATCGCTGCTTGGGAATTTGAGGCGATCCGTACTGCATCTATTTACACGTTGTACTTAAATTTAATATCTATTTTGCACTATGTTATGGGCCTTTTTACTTCTGGAAAATTGCTTTCCTTCCTCGTCAGTCGCGTAAAAACAGTGTTACCAGGTGGTACAATGGCTATCCTCTATTTGCTCTGGACAAATCCAGATTTCGCTTCCGTTTCAATCGAGTTGGCATCACCGACAAAAATTGTTAACGTTTTTGTAGCACAAATTTTTATTGTTTTTGTGTTAATCTGAGTTTTCAAGCGATTTTATTATAAATAAAAACTAAACAATTTCAGTAACTTGCTAAAAGTATTTTTAGCATTAAAATACATATCTAAAATCTAACCACTGGTTCCAGCTTGCGAAGACACTATAATTCCGTTTATGATTTTAGTATATTTTCCCACCCCGACCCACGGTATTTTTTGTACGGTACGAATGGTCACGCTGAATACCTACAATCGTGTGTTTCGACTTTTCCAGGCCACAAAAAATCAAGTTTTTCCTGCTGAAAAGTGCCTTTCGCGCAAGGAAAATCTTCGATGTGGTCGCTTTAAGCCAGCAGCAAGATTGCATTTTCGAAATTTTCCGCCTGCAGCTGGCCCTGGACGTGCTTTGTATCCGTGGAGAACAGAGACGCAAAGGTTGGGACACCCACATCTACACCTACAGCTAGGCACATCTACATCCAACCCAACATCGGCCGCGTGTGTGTGTGTTAGTGCTTTAAGGTGGACCTAGTTGCCTCCTAACTTAAAGGTGACCCAGTGAAGTATCTGGTTTAATAACATTAAAACAGCTATGAAAAATTTGAGGAAAACCAATTCATTACGAGCCACATGGTTTTTTTACTACCATAGTTTTTAACTATTGCTAAGTGATTTTATCGTGTAATAAATGGTAGAAAGTGTCACACCACATATAAGGCAAACTTTTTGTTTGTTTAAAACAAAAAACAATTACTAAGGATAACGTTATATATTAAACATTTAAAATGTCCACCTTAATGTTCATGTTCGTGTGTATGTGTGGTTCATACAGTGTCTGTGTGTGGGCGGTGCAAAAGTTGGTGGAGCAAAGGAAAAATAAATCAAAATTACTCCTTTCAGTGTTTAAAACCTTATTTTACTCAAATTTAAAAAGCATTAAAATTTGAAAAAAAAAAAAAAAAGTAACTTTGTTGTACAGTACGAAAGTACAGAACGAAATTAGTTTCACAAAAGACAAAAACAATAAGAGTTGTTACGGTTAAGCTCCAAAGTAATTACATTAAATTTTAAGCATTTCATAAACATAGTGCGTCCCACTTTCTTATCTCAACCTGAAATCGACTTCAAATAGACCGCAAAGATTGTAAAGTTAATTAAACTGAAACTGATAAAATTTTGATACATTTTAAACCGAAGTTCAGAATTATTGGGTGCCTCACAAGATTTTATTAACTTTTCGCGTCTATTTAATGTACATCTTATCCACTTTTCAACCCACAGATAGACGCCGTGTGGGGTTGGGTTGCTTCCGGCCCGCTGCGCTTAGCAGCGAACAGAATGGGCGACCTGCCGGGCTCCACCGGCGGCGCTGGCGGCGTGGGCGGTGGGGGCGGTTCTGGCGGCGGGAACGGCGGCCCCACAGTCACCGGAACGGGTGGTAATTCCACTGCCGGTGGCGGCTCATCCGTCGGATCAACGGGCGTGGACCGACCGCCGTCGCCCGCCCGCCTCTCACACACGTCGGAGAAACACCCAAAGGTCACGCTCACGGAACTCAATATGCTGCGGCGCCATCGAGAGCTCTGCGATGTCGTCTTAAACGTAGGTGGGCGGAAGATCTTCGCCCACCGAGTAATCCTGTCCGCCTGCAGCTCCTATTTCTGTGCCATGTTCACCGGAGAGCTGGAGGAATCGCGCCAAACGGAGGTCACCATACGCGACATCGATGAGAACGCCATGGAGCTGCTCATCGACTTTTGCTACACAGCCCACATCATTGTTGAGGAGTCCAACGTCCAAACACTCTTGCCTGCCGCCTGTCTGCTGCAGCTGGTGGAGATTCAGGACATCTGCTGCGAGTTCCTCAAGCGGCAATTGGACCCCACCAACTGCCTGGGTATCCGCGCCTTCGCCGACACACACTCCTGCCGCGAATTGCTGCGCATCGCCGACAAGTTCACGCAGCACAACTTCCAGGAGGTGATGGAGAGCGAGGAGTTCCTGCTGCTGCCAGTCGGCCAGCTGGTGGACATCATCTGCAGCGACGAGCTGAACGTGCGCTCCGAGGAGCAGGTCTTCAACGCGGTCATGTCCTGGCTCAAGTACAACGTCGCCGAACGGCGTCAGCACCTTGCACAGGTGAGTTAGTAATATACTAAAGCTCTCTCAAAAAAAGTACTATAATAACGTAGTTTTTTGTATCTTACTTTATTCATTTACTGGGATTCTAATCGCTTTTAGTTACTAACTAATTTATGAATGAATAGCTACTAAAAACTCTTGTATTCCCCCTTCGTTTTAGGTTCTCCAACACGTCCGTCTGCCTCTGCTCACTCCAAAGTTCCTGGTCGGCACGGTGGGCTCCGATCTCCTGGTGCGCAGCGACGAGGCCTGCCGGGATCTGGTGGACGAGGCCAAGAACTACTTGCTCCTGCCGCAGGAACGTCCCTTGATGCAGGGTCCGCGCACCAGACCCCGCAAACCGACTCGACGCGGCGAAGTGCTCTTTGCGGTGGGCGGTTGGTGTTCCGGCGATGCCATCGCCTCCGTGGAGCGCTTCGATCCGCAGACCAACGACTGGAAAATGGTCGCTCCCATGAGCAAACGCCGTTGCGGAGTCGGCGTGGCCGTTCTAAATGATCTTCTTTACGCCGTCGGCGGTCACGATGGCCAGAGCTATCTAAACAGCATCGAACGCTATGATCCGCAAACGAATCAGTGGTCCTGCGATGTGGCGCCCACCACTTCGTGTCGCACCAGCGTGGGCGTGGCCGTCCTAGATGGTTTCCTGTATGCCGTGGGGGGCCAGGATGGCGTACAGTGCTTGAATCACGTCGAGCGATACGATCCCAAGGAGAACAAATGGTCGAAGGTGGCCCCGATGACCACACGACGGTTGGGAGTGGCGGTCGCCGTCCTTGGAGGATTCCTCTATGCCATCGGTGGTTCCGATGGACAGTGCCCGCTAAACACCGTGGAACGATACGATCCCAGGTAAATAAATCCTATATTAAGAGTCCGTATTCAAAATACTATTTTAATTAGTTATTAAACAAGAATTAAATCAGCAGATTTGGTTTTAAAAATACATTTTCCAAAAAAATAATGATTTCATATATTGTTTTCATAGCATAATTCCAATTAAATTCTATTTAGACTCTTGTTTCATAAAAAGTTCCCCTATTTAAATCAGCAGATGTGTATAAAACTAATTTAAGATATTGTAGCACTACGGCCCTTTGGTTTTAAAAATACATTATCCAAAAATAGTTGTAGTTGCCCCGGTTTTTTAGGGCGACAACATAGGGGAGTCTCCCCTTTGATTGCACCTAAACTGACTGCCTGATTTGATTTAAAATGCCTGATTTAATTATTGTAGACAAAACAAATGGGTGGCCGTCAGCCCGATGTCCACGCGACGAAAGCACCTGGGCTGTGCGGTGTTCAACAACTACATTTACGCCGTCGGCGGGCGGGACGATTGCATGGAGCTCTCGTCCGCCGAGCGCTACAATCCACTGACCAACACCTGGAGTCCCATTGTGGCCATGACCTCGCGACGCAGTGGGGTGAGTTTGCCTTGTCCGCCCCCCTTTTCCTTCACCCGTCGAAAAATATTTGAATTGATGAAACGCTGTCGTTTTAGGTTGGCCTGGCCGTCGTTAATGGGCAGCTGTATGCGGTCGGCGGCTTTGATGGGTCCGCCTATCTGAAAACCATCGAGGTGTACGACCCGGAGACGAACCAATGGCGTTTGTGCGGCTGCATGAACTACCGCCGACTGGGCGGCGGCGTGGGCGTGATGCGGGCCCCTCAGACTGAGAATTATATGTGGTGCGAAAACAGTTTTAAGCAGCAAAACCCCTGAAAATAATCCAATCCCCAGCCCTTCCATTGCTGATCAACTGTTGTTGTCTTGTCTATTTCTCCCCCAAAAACGAAAACATGCTAACAATCGCAGGATACGCAAGGATTCTGTTGTCTGATGGGAGCAGCAGCCGACGACGTTGCCCTCTCAAACGTTGCCGCCGCCGCATTTCTACTAACAATATCCGCAATCGAAGCCAAATCTAATTGTCTAAACACCTTAAACCCCCCGTACACCCCCTCCATCACCACCTTCATTGTCTAGCAGCTTTGTAAGATTGTATTAATTGTTAATTGTTTATTTGGTAGAGCCTAAAGCACGTGTTTGTTAGACTTTCCCAGACTAGTATTAGAGTTAGCATTGCCCCTCCTCTCCCGCTAACTGGCAATCACTCATCCCCATCACTCTGTACGTAATTTATATTTGATTCTACTGTATCTTGTAAGCATCTATATTTTATAAATAACAAAAACAACATCTAAATGTTGCTGGTGGTATTTCATGGAAATCGCTAGCCCATAACCATGCCTTCTTTCGAAAAAAACAAATCAGAATCAAACATTAAACTAGAAACGAATTCGATTAGTTGTAAATCTTTAATCGATGAGCTCTACAGTCAAGTAACAATTTGGTATTAACATAATTTAGCCGTAAGAAATTACTTCAAAAAGTTTGTCCGAAATTAGACATCACAATGGTGCAATATTTCGATCGACCAACTTAATGCTGTATTAATTGTTTAGTCAAGACCACTTAAATCCGAAACTGCAAACGTCTCCAATAATAATGAGGTAATATCAACCGAACCGAATAATTAAAAAGTTAGGAAGAGTAAATGTTCTGCCTGTCAAGCTTACAAAAACCTTAAAGATAAAGATAATGAACTAATAATGAACAAAGTTAGACGTAGCCTCAGACATTTCAATAGTAAAATTAACAATTACACAGCCGTAAGATCAACTGTAAGCCAATAAATTTTAATATTGTTACTCCTAGATCGTAAGAGGTCACGTTTTAAAAATAATTATTGTTGAACCAAGTTTGACCATCGAGCTGTAAGAACCAACTCGAAATAGTTGCTTAGAGGAGGGCGCCCAACAAAATGAGTCTCTCGATAACAACAAATTTAGTTTGTTGCCCTTTTACACCAACACCTATTAAACAAATTATTTATTTTCAAAACTATTATTTATTATGCGCTTTTGTATCTCATATAGTTTATTTTATTGTGCCCTTTTGTCATTACTTTATACACTGTTGTTAAATCGAGCAAATGGGAATGAACTTTGCTTCCAAACGATAAATAAGAATAGCATTTACAAAACAAAACCAGGCTTATTTATATTCTAGGATTAATTGAATGGAGAACACGCATACAAATATAAATATCCACATACCACACACTATGCATAATTAAACAATACAAATTTATAGTTATATTGAATGGAAAAAACGTGCTTAACGCAAATAATAGACAAAGTGTTAATAAACGTATTGGATCGTAAACCCGTGCTAAGTGTAAGGATATATGATAATAAAATATATCTAAACTTAAAAAAAGTAGTTTAATTCTGGAACTGGTTTGGTAATATTGGTTTGGCAAGAAAGTCATGTCGTTTTTTTCAATATTTTTAAAGATGATTTATTTATATCAGGGGACTTATAATTAATCAATTATGTTTTGGCCGTTTTGTTGGACCATTTATTTCCTTTAAGCTCTGCGGAACCCAAACATCGTCCTCCCTTACGTAGCCAAGTTTCTTCAAATGGTTTTCAACCGTTGTATGCGACACACTGAGCTTCTCTGACATCTCCCGTGTTGAACAACGCCGGTTTTCATCCAGCAAAGCCTGAATTTGTTCGTCAAAAACGGTCGATGGTCGACCAGAACGTGGGGCGTCTTTAACTTCAAAATCTCCAAGCCTGAATCTGGCAAACCAGCGCTGACATTGGCGATTACTAATGGCATCTTCACCATACACTTCGCACAATTTTTCGCGAGCTTCGACCGCTTTCTTTCCTTTTCGGAAGTAAAAAAGCAAAATATGCCGAAAATGCTCACTTTGGTCCTCCATGTTTATTTTGCTATAGCTTCCACAAATGTTATCGAATAATTACCAAATTTTCGTCGATAGCACCTAAGACAATAGACTTTAAAACGATACTAAAAAGTGTGACCCTGGTGCTCGATTGGTCGTAAATAAAATAGATTAAAAACGATTACTAAAAAAAAGACATGACTTTCTTGCCAACCATATTTACTTTTAAGACTACTTATCCAAAAGCTTTATGTTTTGGAACGGAACTTGAGCTTTTCTTACAATCCGCCACGCCTATTTTTACGCCCACAAGCCTTGGGGCACTTCAGCCTTCATATCGCAGAACATATTTCATAACACTATATTTTGAAAGGGAAAACGAGGAATCTTAAAATAATATTTCAAATTTTTTTTTGCAACATCGGCTGCAGTGTAAACAAGTCTTTAAAAAACTATCACACACCGCCAAGAAATCGATAAATTTGAATACATATTCGATAGTCGCTCGCCACAGCTGTTTATTCTGGCGCTCTTTCCTGCTTTTGCTGGAATAGCTATTATTTTGGCTCCCCAAAAACCATGTCCCAAGCCCCGGATTTGGCCGGCGGGAATGTTCAGCAGAAACGGAGGATACTTAGCGGAGTGGAATACAACCGGATATGCCAGTTCATTAACGGATACCACGGACTGCCCATCGACTGCGAGTTCGAGTTGAGGAACCGCTTCTTCAAGGACGTGGAGCCGATGGCCTTGACATGCATCCTGCAATCGGAGCTTTTCAACAAGTCGCGGGGTCACCACTGGAAGCAGGAGCAGCGGGGCAAGAAGCTTCTCAAAACGTAAGATCCTTAGGAATGTCCTTATATGTTCATAGGGATTACAGGTTGGTTGCTCCTTACGAATTTCTCTGGGAACTTAAAGTTGTAAGAACAACTTTATATATGATTTACCTGTAACTGAATCTTTATTTGCCTTATTTTTTAGGTTTGAGGAGCAGAAGAACCTCTACGACAACGCCCTGCTAATTCGAATGGCCTGTGTCGAGGGACTTAATCCTGTGGCCGTCTGCAGGATGCTGTTGCAAGAAAAGTACAAACTGCGCCATCGTTCGCACATCTCCCGGTTTCTAAAGCATCCGCACCTCATCGACGATCCCCGGCTGGCGGCCAATGTGCAGCAGTGCATGATCAGCGACAACCAAGAGGGACCCATCACAGATCTGCGGCGCCGCATCATCGGCGAGGAATACGAGCTGAAGCTTAAAACGCTTTCCAAAGAGGCGGGAATCCACTTCTACGACGAACAGGACTTGCGGCGGATGGGCTATGACAAAACCCCAGACATCAAGATGATCCTACCGTTTCTGTTCAAAGGATCCGTGATCAACTGGATCGAGAGCAAGGCCAATTTCGGGGACACCAAGGGACACAAGTTCAACATCCAACAACAACTACATAGTTACTGCAATCGGTACGGAGTTATTATACAAAATATTATTTTTAAAGACTAAATCAACATATTTTTTATTCAGTTTTGGACCAGGAATCATAATCTATTGGTTTGGCTACCATGAGGAAACGCCACTTTTGCCGGATAATAATATTGGCATCACTGTGCTTGCTGATTTTCCTGCCAAAGAGGATTTGGTTTTCATGCAACTCGCTCAAGCAGAATTGCCCACTAAAAATGCAACCATCAATGAGGAAAACAGTTCAACGAGTCAGAAACCAGAGGAATATAAAGAGCCTTCGTGAAGTTTTACCTTTTTTAAAGAAAACGGCGAAACAGGGAAAATAACTTTTTCGGAACTTGTTGATTAGGCAGCGACTTGTTTTACCATATTAAACGATATGTGCTTGTTTGTACAATGTACATGGACAACCTAAATTTTAACTAGAAATTGTCATTAGCCAAAACAATCAAATTATTATAGTTGTATTCTAAAAACACTGCGAATATAAATTTAAAGACGGGAATGCTTTGCATTTAAACTGTAGCTATTAAGACAATGCTGATGCAGCAAAACTACATTTCTTTCAGATTTAACAATTATTTTTCTTTTTATTGTATTTATAAATTCTCATTTACATGATACTCTCGTTTGTTTATAGTACAAAAAGATTGTTTTATTTTTAAATTCCCGGCATAAGTCGTATAAAAAACTATAAAATATTGTAATAATCGCTGTTTATAAACCGAATCAAAAACGGAGCACGAGTAATTATTGTGACTCAAATTGCTTGTTGTCTTTCAGGTATAATAAAATAGGGAATCAAAACAAACGTATTTATCTTGCTATGTGGTAGGTTGCTATGTATTGTGGTAGCCATTTAGCCAAGTGTTCTTTTCAATTTATAAATCAAAAGTCAGCAGTGTGTATATAAAAAAATTCAGCTGCGCCCTTCGCATTGGAAATTAAATAACTATAACTCTTATCCACCCTCTTGGCTTCGGCTTAATTTCTGGTATCCGTTTTCGGGCTGGTGTAAAGTTATTGTTGCAAAGGTTTCGTACCGGTAGGCAACTCGTCGATCTCGTTCAGCTTGATATATGAATATACGCACTCGGCCGCGTCGGCCATCAGACATCCTTAAGCTCCTCGGGCAGATCGTTCTTGGGGTGCTTGTTCTCGAAATGCTGCTTGTAAGTCTTGGGATCTGGCATTTGCGACTGAAACGGAGGAGGCATTTATTAGATTTAATGTAGAACTATTTTCGTACGGTAAATAAATTCCTTAAGAATGTATACAATAATACTTTTGTTGACTATAGGAACTAAGTACTGTGTAATTGGCTTAACAATTACTATTAAAGTAAACCTTTGAGTGTGGAACACCTTTCAAGTCGTTAAGATAACGAAGTAATACAGTCGACTCTCGTTAATTCGAAACTCGAGGGACTCTTGAAATATTTCGAATTATCGAGTGTTTGAAATATCAAATGGTTCGAAATTTGCGAGAGAAAATAAATAAAATTTCGAATTATTAAGTGTTGGTTAATGTTTATTTATTAATATAAAAATGATAAGAATTAAGATGTACATTCGTGTACGTACATGTATTCGTAATGTGAATTAATTAATCTTTCGAAAGAACACTAACTTTTAATATGCATACCAACGAAAGAGTAACAGTAACTGAATAACTACACAAAACCAATTCGTAAGAAGTGTGTGCGTCAAATGGTCAAACTACATAATCAAAACAAAAACAAAGGCAAGTTTGAACTTGTCGCAAAATTCCCGTCTTTTTTCTCTGCAACTTTGAATTATCGAGTGTTAGACGCTGATGAGTTCGAATTAACGCGTGGTTTTGTTAAATATCAATGATTTTTTCGTTCGAATTACCAAGTGTATGAGAATGTACTGATTTAGTTCGAAATATAAAGAGATTTCGTAGGGACCTCGAGATAACTTTGAATTATAGAGAGGTTCGAATTATCGCAGGTTTGAATTAATGAGAGCCGACTGTAATTAACACGGGTAGCGCTTTTATCCTAAAAATGCCATCGGCACGAATTGATTTTGTAAGAGAGAAATTACACCTGATATATTCATAAAAAAAAGCGAAGAAAGTTAAATAGTACTACTATTGTAATTTAAGTCGTATGACGAATAAAAAACCATTAAGAACTGAAAATATTCAAGTTTATTTTCGCAGTTCTGATGCTACGATTGACCCTTCAGTATGTTAAGCATTTTTTCAGTCAAGGTCAACTTATACAGTATCCACTGTGGCTGTCTTACCTTGCAAACAGCGCACACATGCACGAGAGCCTTTTGAGCCGCCTTTTTCTGATCGTTGGCACTGTGTCCCTGCTGTTTCTTCAATTTAGCCTGCTTCTCGGAGGCCTTCGCCTGCGATTGGATCTTCTGGTGTCCGCGTGCCATTTCTTGCTGTATAAATGTAAAACAAATGTGGGAATATGTAAGTTGTACCATTAATCACCTTTGTTTGTTGTTTGGCTCAAACGGGATTTGCAACAAAGGCGGCAGAAGCGCAGTTACTTTCACTTTTTTCCCCCGCCCACAAACACTCGACTTTGGGGGTTAGATGAACAGGAAATGGTTTTCCCAATCTCCGTACTCCCAACGTTGGGATCGTAAATAAAAATCAAATACGACACTGTACTGCAATCACCCCCGCAAAAGAAAATGTGGCATTGCGACCACGTTCTGCAGCCTTTTTGCGAATTCGTACTAACTTACCTAATTAACCCGATTAAGTTTGGTCAACTTTAGTAAATGCGGTTGCTGCAGCCTTTTGTTTTCAATGTTACTCGTTGTTCAGAAAGGTTTAGATTTGGTACCCGAAATTGATGAGAATTTGCTTGGGAAATTTTTTCTAATAATTTGTTGAGTTTTGTTTCGCTGCCAGGGTTGAATGAGACCAGATGAATATAAATACAAAATACATCGGTAAAATAAAGGCCAAAGGGTGAGGATGTTAGGTTGGACTTAGTGCGTACCCAAACCTCACAAGGAACTCAAAAATCTATATTTTAAAGGACTTGCGTTTTTTTTTTAATATTGAATATAATATTTAAGGAATGTGCATACAAAGCTCCAAGTACTTTTTTTTAGCTAGATTATAATGCGGATCACCTCTTTTATTTTTCGTTCTAACATTTTTTCTCATTTTATTATATTTATAAATTCTCATTTACATAATTTGCTTAAGTTGTATGGTACAAAAAGTATGGGTTTCTTTCATTTCATATAAAATGGTTCTTCACGGAGGAATAAGTTCCGATAGCTGTCTTTAAGGATAATAATTATCAAAATCAAAAAACTCGCTATCTGATACGTTGTCTTGTATTTTTGTAGCCTTCCATTTAACAATTGCATACTGTGTTATTTTGAATGTATAAACTAAAACCAAAACCAAATGCCAGCAGTGTTTGTATAAAAATTCAGCTGCTTCCCTTGCATTGGCAAATATAATTATTACTACTATTATCCATCATCTTGGCTTCGGGTTGATTGTTGATTTTAATGTATGGTTGCAAAAGTTTCGTACTGGTAGACAACTCGTCGATCTTTCTCAGCTATATATAATGTTTATAAACCCACTCGGTCGAGCTGGACATCAGACATCCTTAAGTTCCTCTGGTATGTCGTTCTTGGGATGCTTGTTCTCAAAATGCTGCTTGTAAGTCTTCGGGTCTGGCATTTGTGACTGGAATGGAGAGGAACTTCGATTAGATAAGATTCAAAAATAAATATTAATCTATTAAAAAAGGAAGTAAAGCGAGATACTGATATTTGTTTTTCAATTTTGAAAAGATTATATTTTTTAAACTAGTGTTGATATTGATTACTGGTGGTATTGATTATTAATTACCAAATTAAAATAGCTTTGGATTAACACCTTAAGATGAAGTCGAACTTAGTAAAAGGAAAAGTTGTCGTCCGAACTACAATTTATACGTGGTTATCCTTATTCTTAATACAAAAGACAGCTAAACTTGGTTCGATTCTTTTAGGTTTCACTCGAGTTGGCTCACCTTGCAAACAGCACACACGTAAACCAGAGCCTTTTGGGCTGCCTTTTTCTGATCGTTGGCACTGTGTCCTTGTTGTTTCTTCAACTTGGCCTGTTTTTCGGAGGCCTTTACTTGTGATTGGATCTTTTGGTGCCCGCGTGCCATTTTTCCTGTAAAATAGGATGTAAATTAGTTAGTACAATTGGTTTGAGAAGCTGTCATCTTTAGCTTTTGTTTGTTGTTGGACCTAAAACGGGATTTCCAACAAACGCGGCAGAAGCGCAGTTACTTTCACTTTCTCCCACCACTCCGATGACATGAATGGGAAGCTATTTTTAAGATCTGTAGCCGTTGAACTATTAGATCGTAAACATAAATCAAATAATTCCACACACTTTACGTCAACAAAAATTCGCACCTGCAAAAAAAATGTGGCGGCCACGTTCTGAAGCCTCTTCGCGAACCTCAATTAACTTACCTTAATAACCCGATTTAATTTGGATGCTTCAGCTCAATGCAAGTTCTACGGCAGTTGGAGTAAAGCCAAATTCTTTGTCCAGAAAATGTTAAAATTTGATACCCGAAGTTGTTAAGGTTTTTCCTCAAAAATTTCTTAATTTGTCGAGTTTTGTTGCTCTGTCTGGGTTGAATGGGGCCAGAATTTGAAAAGGTATAAAATACTCCTCAGAATAACTAGAGGTTGATGTCTGCGATAAATATATTACGAAGACTTAGCCAACTGACGTAAAATAACGTAACAACTAACGTGACGGAGAAACATTTAAAATACTTAGGATAAAGCAACCATTTAAAAAAAAAGCAGCATTAAAAATTCATATTTTTGCTTTTATAAAAAATGTATATTTATTCGGTAGAAAACTTAACAAATTACAACTATTTACAATTAAACCAGCATACTGGCATTATTATCGCAAAACTCGTAAATATTATCAACAAACTGCATTTCCTGCGAACTTTTAGCAACGTGAGGGGTAATTTTAATTTCTGGTGAGGGTTGAGGCAGTTTTGCAACGCCCCTTTTACTGGCAGTGTCTGCCTCCGTTTGTTCCAAAGTCAGTCGTTTTAAATTATTAATAAGTGAGATATCGTGTTTTATCTCGTTCTTCAGTTCAAGGAGTTCGTGTTCTGTTTTAATAATGTCCTCGGCATAAGCTTCGATGTTTTCTTGCAATTGCCCAACCGATAACTCCATTTCCGGTCTTTTGTACCGTTCGTTTTGCAATCGATATAGTCGACACTTTTCCGATAACTGACGAGTTAGTGCATATTCCTTTTCGTACCGGAAATTCATATCGGCATGAAGGGCTGCCAATTTGTTTCGAACACTGTTACGCAACGGTTTATCCTTTCGCCTCTTTATGCAATTATTAGCGTTATTATAGTAATTGTTGTTACATTCGCTGGGAATTGCTGTTCTAAATGTTTCGATTGAAGCTTTGGTTATTTCATGACGACTTCGCCTTCGACGTCGTTGCTTGGAAACTCGATTTTCGGCCAGTTTAAATAGCTTGGATTTGGCGGCATTTTCATTGCCCCTATATAGCTGATCTGGCATTATAACCAGTACTAAATCATTCGGAATCGATCGCTTTTTGTCTGGCACACATCTTTCTTTCAATTTATTGGGCACTTTGGGAGGAGTTTTTGTGGGTTTTGGCATAACCTTCTTGTCTTTCTTAAGATGAAGTAGTTTTTTGAGCCACTTGATCATCGAAAAAGTATTGGTCGATTGAGTATGTGGTATTAGTTGCATGGCCAAAGGATCTCTAAAGTTATCACGATGTTTCAACGATAGGCGGAGCTGGAATTTAGAAAAGAAAAAAATGTTTAATAAAAAAGGGGTGTGTCCAGCCTACGCACGACAGAAGTGAAACTTCTAGTATTCCTCTCTCTCTTATCATTTCATTTCCTCTATCTCATCACTACTCATTTTTAAAATTGAAATTCTGTAGGAAACCGAATAAAAGCCATTTTAGACGCTTATTTTAGAGGTCTGGAAATGTGCTGGCGACTCTCAAAAGTTAACAAACCGATTGAGAAGAAGAAGAAGACAAATACATATCGATATGTGTTTTCATTTCTAGGTCAAATAAAATGGATAGAAATTATGGTGCCAATTAATATCTGTATGCAACCTGTTCGATTTGAATGCCTTTTGACATTCACACCTCTCACCCCTTTTTCAACTGCAACTTTGTGCGAGCGCGCTGAGAGCGAGAAAGGATAGAGGAGGATAGAGACATCGTTCGTCAGCGGTTAGAAAGGGATGGGGATCCTCGCTTTTTCGTGACGGTAATTTTCGTGACGGTAATTTTCGTGACGGTCATGAATCGGTTTTACTCCGTCCCCGAAAATCCATAACGCGCCTAAAGAAGTTTCACTTCAAAAATATATTGTTTCCTGCTTAAACAAAGATTCTTGTGAGTTTAATTGGTATTTGTTTTAGTTTAATCTGTCTAACAATAAGTTCACGTTAATGTGTTTTCTTTTTCCCAAAACCCTTTCAGTCCATTAACCGGATAAGATCATCAAATAACAATTAGGAGTACACAAACATTAATCCAATTGCTAATGGCTGGGATCATAAAAAATTTACAACATAATTAAGTCGAAACGAAAACATGAACTTTAATATAAAAATCAATAGGCAAATTGATTTCCCTCGGTGCGTCACAAACAAATAAATACGAAAAGCCGGAGCATAAGTCAAATGCGAATGGTATTATATAGTAGGCGCGGGTGTGACTATGAAAGGGGGCTGACAGGAAAAAAAATACGAAGGGAATGGGTTTCGAGAACGACATGAATTTCACATTTCTTGGCTTGCGTGTGGCGCCAGGAAAAAAGCGCTTATTATGCAATCACTGTAGACGTTTTTTTTTTCGGGCCCAGTTCGCTGGTGTTTCGCTCTTTTTTTTCTGCACGCCAGGTGGGATTCCCCCTGGCTTCCTCCGGATTGTTGCCATTACCTCATTGTGTACACGGCTCCAAGCGCGCCAAACGGGCAAAATGGCCATGTTGCCATCGTAGCTCCGCTCTATGCCGCCCCAACTTTCCGTTATAATGTAATCGCCGTAGTCACGCGATGCTGCCGCCGTATTCCTCTGGCCGCCATCTTGTTTTTCCAACGTCCGGAAAACAAAAAAGAAATTCAATGAAATGAAAAGAAAAGAAACGCAAACGCAAAGTGAAATAAAAGTAATTGTAAATAAGTAGCATAAATAAATAAAAAGCCAAATTGTGATGTACTAACAAAATAACAGTCACGACAGGATCGGCTGTAAAAAGCATATTGACTTACCTTTTGGATTATTAGCATTGTTCAGTTCGTCATCAATCAGGGCCTTGATTATGTCATCGCAGGTCGTTTTATTCGTCACTCCCGATACGTAACGCGCCTCGCCATCGTCCATCCAGATGGGGATTTCCTTGTGGCCTTGTTCCTGATGGGTCGCAGGAAAAAAGGGGAAGTACGGAGATCAATAAACAGAGTTGCCAGACATTCAAACCGGAAATAGCTTAAGGTATTGGGTTAGGGACCTTGAGTAAACTTTGAAATTGCGTCAGAGATTCTTGATTCAATGAAATCATTCTGAGCAAATTTAATCCATTTTTTCTTATTAAATTAATAATAGAAAAATATTAGTTAAAATTATTTTTAGGAATCTCTTTATTTTAAAAAATATGGTTCTTTGTAAAATACTTTATACGGCGTCTGTAAGTACTAGGAAACTTCAAATAGTATTCATTTGCCTCTAATCATATCTTTGAATACTATAAAAACAATGTGTAGATGGTAAAGACTTTTTGTAAAGGATAAAATGTAAGTACTTCATAAATATCTTTGCGTTCAAAAACCTTGAAGTTATAGTTTGTGGAAAGGCTAATGTTGTATAGCAGCACCCAATCAATATCACAACTAACGCACATTAGGAGTTTCCCCTTCCCATTTAAGTACAGGTCCCGGCGAAAGGTAGCCTCTGAGTTTGCCTGTTTATGCATATGACTAACGCCTGTGGCTGCCCCCAATTAGATGATTTGTTTGATTTCAGTGGAAAAGCTGCCGCAGCCGAAAATCAGGGGAGTGGGTTGTGGATTGCAAAGGGGGGGTTAAGGATGGGGAAAGGGTGGGGGTTTGTGCACTTACCACAGTGCTATTAACGCCGTAGAGGGAAATGGAACGGTGGCGTCGACTGGCCTGGCCAACGTTTCCGTTTTCCCTGCCGTGTTTATTTTTGCATGCTTGCCGAGTTGCCGGTGCTTTGGGCATTGGTGGTGCCACGGGTGGTGCTACGGGTGGTGCTAATGGTGGCTCCCCCACCGAATCGTCCACCAAACGCTCCTCGAATGCAGCCTGCTTATTATTATTATTGTTGGTGTCTTGATTTTGACATCGTCGCGGCGGAAGAATGGGGCTTTCGGGTAGATCCAACAGCGATGGACAGCTGTCCAGATTATTATCATCGATGAATGTGGAGTTCTGTTGTTGCGGCGCCATATTCCTTTTGAAAAACCTCTTTCGCTAATTGGCACTGCAACGAATGAAAAAGCAGAAAATACTTAAATATATATGTATATATAAAGAGTGAACATGCAATATCCTTGTTAGACATTTTGTTGGTACAGCTGGTTGTTCGCCTACGCCTAACGATCAATTTAGATTTGTTTCCCGCGATTAAATAAATTATGCAGTAGCCCTTCACCGTACTCGGTGTGTACTTCTATACTTTCTACATGGCTCACATATGTACTGGCTTTGTTGCACCACAGACACGACGCAACCCCATCTAGATTCCTAGAAAATTGCCTACCAACGTCAGTTGGCGCCGGTGGCCCATTATTCAGGAACATGGCCAACGTTTAGCCTGTCGCACCATCCCAAACCATTTCGAACAGAACCAAACCAAACCAAACCAACCGATTCTACGAGGCCTACTGAGCCCTTTTCCCCCGATTTTCAGGCCCCACATAATTTGTTGTTATGGGGGGCGTTGTACGAACCTTGCAGTTTGTATGCAAATTCCGCTTTCCAGCCGAAAAACATTTTCCTTTCTGCTTCATTTTCTCCTTCCTTTTTTTGCATTGCAATTGCTGGCCTGGTTGACTTATGAATTAATGCTAATTTATGCCGCCGGAAAATGCAGCGAAGGAGCCCAAATTATATAGATTGGCGCTGGTCGGCGAATAAATATTTTTGGAGAACAAATTAGAGGGAATAGGCAGCTAATCATCTTTGGGTTTTTGGTTGAAAAGCTTCGATACAGTCCTTTTAAATATTTATACTTAAATTTATTATTATGGTTCAGTCATAGATTTTTTGAAATTCCCTTCTATTTTGTTGGAAAAGAGCAGAAAATCAATTCGCGTTAAAATATTTATTTATATATTTATTTGTATTAAAAATTGAATTAAATTATTCTGAAATTCTAAAAACTACTCTATACTTAATTGTAAGATTATATTCGAGATCCATAAAAAATCAATACTAATATTACTTTGATCAATTCTGCACTTAATTTTTACTTGAAAAAAGTGTTTAGAAAACAAAATTGAAGTTGCACCCCCAAGGACCTAATTCCTGGTGAAAACTACAATTGAAATGGAATTAACAGACGTTTTCAGAATTCCCTCGTCAAATATTTATTTGCTCTCTGGACAGGTGCCTCAGGCAAGGGCCACGCCCCCTCTTCTATTAGAGAAATGAGTTATGAGTGGAGCAATTTGCAGAAGGATTTCCCCCTGCCAGGACCAACACTCGTGCCGCGGAATATCCTTCGATGTGTGCTGCCTTTGATTACGCTGGACACCTGGACATGCCAGCGTTCATTTAAAAATGTAATTTCCAATCAAGATAAGTTCAAATGTAAATTTCCTTCGGCGAGGTCAATTACTGAACTCTGACCCGCCCCCCGCATTGCACTTAATTGTTTCGCGGTGGGGTGGACGGCCGCCCCCTGATTACACATTCATGGGCGTGCAGTTGGCCAAGTTAGGAAATACTTCTGACCCCCGCCGAAAGTTCAATGTCTCTAAAGTTTGGCCAGCGATCGGGTTTCACTCTGGGAATATTATATTTTTAACTGCTTCACAATTTTAGCCTAACCCCAATTAATTGCTACTGTGCAGTTCCCCTCGATATTTCCGTTGCGTGTTGGGGTGAAATTAATTTTGTTTGGGTATTGCGCATTCGATTCTAAAATGAAAATAGAGAACCCAACGCAATCGTGACGTTAGCAGTTCACTAGGCCTGGTAATGGGGGCGTATGAGTAATATTGCGAAGGCTGTGATTTAATAATGTACAAGTCAAAGTTAAAGCTTCCGAAAGACAAAAATCTTTCAGGAAAAGTTGAACAACTTTTTATGAATTGCGTGAATTCAATTTGATTTTCATTTGCAATCGATTTTGGAAGTAAATTTTAGGTGGTCATGAGTTTGTATGCTGCTTTGGTTGTACATATTTATACAAGTTTTTATTTTTGTATTTATTTTGAAATCTTTTTTAACATCTTTGGTGATTCAATTGGTTTTCATAAAGTTTCTTAAATCATAAATCCAATTCTGTTTCATTTCTTTTTCTCCTACATTGATTTTATAGAATAATTTGATCGGTTTCTCTCAGTTTTTATCCCTATGATCCCTATTTTTTGTGAAGTTTTTTTTTAACCTTTGTTGTTTAAAGCTGAAACGTGAATTTTGGCACCCGCAGAACCACAGAATAGTGAAATCAACTGTGAATTCTCCCAGTGCCAAGATTCACAGCCAGCCAGTCCTTGATCTTGGGTACCAAAAACTCAAAATCTAAGCACAAGATCAACTGGGATCGCTTACCTCTTGATGTTTTCTGCAAATGCGGCAGCAATATTACACTTTTCCGGGTGATCCTCTCGTGCTTTCTTTAGTTTTTGACAACTTGGTGTATGATTTGGCTCTGAGAATTGTAGTTTTGAGCGAGCTTCACTGTTTCACACATGCTGCAGCTGCAAGGACATGCTAATCCTTTGAGCTTTGACACTTGACTGAAGTTCAAATTTGAATTTGCGGCTATGTAAGGTGAGCTAGGCAGCGACGTCGACGTCGCAGTCGGCGCTGACTGCGCTGCCGCCTACCGGCCGGATAATGTACGGTGGGATATATATAAAAATGTTTCTAGATCTAGACAGGTGCTAATGTTGCTATCCCTGTCGCTAGCACTCGATTCGAGCCTGGCACTGAAAAAAGCCTTTCGCTCCGTTCGCTCTGTTCGGTTCGATTCCGCATTCAAATTCTCCACACGGCACAGGTCCTTCCTGCTCGATGACTCGTCGTTGCCAGGAACAACGTTGCACAACAAATAACTGAACGGCGTATCCTTGACGACGGCAAGTGACTAACTAAAATTTTATTTGCTACCACACAAAACTTTAAAGCAAAAAAGGAACGAGCTCGCGAGCTCAGGCAACGCACACCGACACACCTGGCGTTGCAAGAAAGAGAGAGTCCGAGGGTAGGTTCTCCTGCACCCTGCTCCCCTCCTCCCGCTCCTTGCACCCCGCTCCCTGCTGTCGTCATCATCGTCATCATCCTGCCACGGCTGCCACCGTCTTTGGCCAACCACCAGCCACCACCGAAATTGAGTAAAAACAACACAGTATAAACGAACGAGTGTTCCTACCAATTTCCACTAGCCCTAGCCTTCTAGAACTTCTCTCTTTCGGCCACAACCACTACCACTGCCACTTCCACGGCCAACACCGATAGCAGCACCAATACCAGTGCCACTATCTCGACCACGACCACTCCCTCCGCTCTTGGTTGCATTTTCAGCTATTCCGTAAGCGAACTATAGCGTGTGCTACCCGCCAGCAGCACCAACACCACCAAACGCCACGAAACACCGGGAACCACCAAAAACCACCATCAACACCAACACAGAAGTGCACTGGGGAAAAAATATTACCAAAAATAAGACCCCTCTTTATCCCTTATAACGCCTATCCAGTTGTTCAGCTTTAAAAACATTTTATTTTTCAATTTTTCAATTACATTTTAGTACAGTTACAATTGAAAGCCTTAAAATAATTGGAAATGAAAGGTTATGGCATTTGAAATTCGATATCTTATAATAGTTGCTTGTTTAACAACAATTATCCTATTTAAACTAATGTTTTTTACATTTTAATAGACAACGAATGATTCTTTTATGAATATTACAAGTTAAACAAATAAATAATGACAAATTTGTAAAGTTATTCACACACATTTGTTTGGCTTAGTTTAAGTTTAGTTTAAAAAAGTCTTCTAGCACACAATAAGATATATTGCAATTTTTTTGTCAGTGTACCAATGCCATGACGCGCACTTTGCGTTATTTGGTAAAACGAGATTGTTGATAACGTGCCACCAACAACAGCAACAACGAACTATAAAAAACTAGCGGTACATAAAAAACGAATTTCTGCCTTGTTTTTATCCACCCCCCACGGCCGCCCCCCACCCTTTACTTCAGCCTATTTTGCCACCCCATTGTTTTTTTGCTGTGTATTTTATTGTTAATGGGCAGCATTTGCTTTTCGATTCGATTTTTTTCGAATTTTTTCCTTCGGTTGTACATTTGTTGCTAACAGACTTTTTTCGGCCAGGATCAAAAACTTTGGGCTCGAATTTGGGATGGGTTCAATAGCGCTATCTAAGAAATAGTGCTAATGGTGGAAGCAGAAGGCATTTGTGTTTTCTGTAAATTGGAAAAGTAAAAGTGTCTTTTGCGGAAATTCAGTTTATTTATTTTCTGATTACCCCTTTATGAGGACATTTCCCTTAATGGTTTTTAATAAAATGTTATAAGAAAATAATAAACCATGTTATCCACATGTAAAGATACTTTAAATATAAATAGAATATATGATCTTTAGTATAAAAGAAATAGGTATTCCTGTGACATATTGAAGAACTGTTCCTAAAAGTGGATACTACAAAAACAGATCGATCAACTATGGCATTTGACTATGGCTCCAACTTCTTGTTTGGCCACCCTATAATTTCCATTGGACTCATTAGGATTGGGCAACACAAATATTCAATAATGCTCAAGCTCATTAGGAATCGATTCAATGGAAGTACGCCGCATTCTAGGATATAAAGTTGAAGCCACCTCCTGCAAAGTTGTTGGCAGGTGCCAACTTATCTGTGTAATATGACAAATTGCCCCTCCCTGCCAGTCATTACAACTTTGCTTAGTAATGCTCAGGCAATTGCATTCGAAGCCAGAATAAAGTGGCTAAGTCCAACCACCTTAGTAAAAGAGAAAAAAAACAATTAAAAACACGCAACTTGTCCATTTCTGGGGAAAAAGCGCGTGAAATTATGAAGCGATTTCGGGGCGAAAAGCGAATGTGGCTATGACGATTATGTAAATGATTGATTTGGAGCTGGAGCAGGTTAGGCTGTACTTACTAGCTCTCAGTGGCTAGGAGTTAGTTAGGGGTGGCTAACTGGCCCGATGTGGTTCAGCGATTTCACGGTATGGCACCGCGCGTTCGGAATAAACAAACATAATGCTCGTAATATCCTTATAATGGCACCAGCAGCTCTCCGGGGGGATTATTACTACTATTTGGTACTGTTCTTTTATGCTTTTATTGTGGGAACCATTGCTAGTGGTTATTAAATTTTATTTGGATTTTCCTCGGCCACATGAGGTGGCTAATTGCCACGCCTCCGCCGCCTTAGCTCCCTAATTTAGCAAGGTTTTTTCTGTCCATTTCGAGTCCTGCATGCAATTGCCTGGCGCCACGTGTCAAAGGGGCAAGGGGGCGCCAAAAAAGGGGGTTATTTGTGGAGGAGGAGGGGTAGTGGGAGGGAAAAGGGGGTGGGCCGGGTGTCTGGCGTTGCATGTGTCGCATATATGGAAATTTCCTAATGACAGGGGAGTTCAACGCGGTGCCCAAGTTCATTGTAGTCGAGTTCAGTGCTCAAGCAATGATTGAGTTTTATTGTTGATTGTTGAACAGAGATTGCGGCTCAGCCGAACAGGGTTAGTTGTCAGTGGGCAATTTATACCATATAGGGTGTCCCCTCATAAAAAAAAAAACGAAACGGAAGTTAGTTTATTTAGAACCTTGCTCTACGATTTTAATCTCAGTTAATCTATATATTTTTGTTTGGTATCCTTGTAAAAAGTTTTTATTAATTAAATTCATTCTATTCTTTGTTCTTTAAAAAGTTATCGCAGATCAAATACCGGTTACACTTTTTGTAAAGAATTCGTATAAAAAATTTTTATTTTCACTTTACACGTGCTCAATATTGCAATCCATCTTTTCAGAGGTAATCCTGCATTGTTCTTTTCCAAAAAGTAATTTTTCTTCCTTTTTCCTTTAAAACTCTGGAGTTCATAATCCCGGGTCACAATATATAATACAATCATATAATTTAAGCCTCAGCATCAGCTGTTTTCCGGCATTGTCGCCTTGTTATGGCCTAACACACATGTCCTTCTTTACAGACTGACCCTGACATAAATATTTCCTAAGATCAATTCACATGTGTTCGATCCTCCCTCCACATTAATTACAAATTGTAACGTATTTTACCGCCACAGAAACGATTATAATTCGCTCTTAGCCAGTCCTAAAGAGGGGAGATTGTTACCTTTTGGGTACAAAATAATTACAAGTGGCAACCGGCAGACGACAAACGGCTAACTGCATCCAGGTAGAACTTGGCCTGTCTCCGCGTTTTGCCTTTACTTTTCCTTTACCGCGTGCCATCAATGCCGGCTGCTGCTGCAGGTGCACGATTCAGCGAAGCGGGACGCGATCCCACTTGAACTCAAGCTGGTACACTTTAAAAAATGCTTTCATAATTAAAAAAATGTAAGTTGTTAAGTCTTTGTATGATAGATTTTTTTAGCGTTGCCCCTTTACTCCCAATGAAATTCTTCGAAAATAATAATATGAACTATATTTTTTGCTGTGTACCCACATACGTTCTTAGAGCCAAAAGACAGTTGCATTTTATGCAACGGGCGGAAGGAAGCTGTTGCGCGGGTCAAAACACTTGTCCTCATTCGCCGGTTCCGAGTTTGAACCTTTCGGTCGAACCTGTTTGCTGGCTTATCTGGCAAGGGCGGGCTGTGAGATCTGGCCAACAGTCAGTTCCAAAATGTACACTGAAAAAGTAACACAAGTTCTTTAACCTGTACTTAAAAAAAATTATAAGATCCAAAGTATTATAAATTATAATTTATAATGATTCTCGTGGTCATCCTTTTATCCATTTTATGTTTTGATGCAATTATATTTGAAACAAATATAATGATGAATTTCGATTGTATTATTTTAGTTCCACTAAGGTTTTTAATTTTTCACCTAAAGAGTCTTAAGAATACTGTAACCATTTTATTTAAAAAATGCTATTATTTATACAGTTTTGATAAGTGTAGTAAAAGTAGCCCTGGAGCACTCAGTTGTCATTCTTTGGGCAGGTTGTTTAACATGTGCGGTGTTCGATTTTAGGGGTTGTACCTTCTTAACGGCAACTGCGACTGCGCCTGTGACTCGTGTGCATTGACCTGAAAACTCAGCGCGCCTTTTTTGTTAATAAAGCCTTGTTGCTATTTCAAGAAAATTAGCTGAATAAAGAGAAAAAGATTACATCCTTTACGATTTTTACATGATTATAGCTGGAGTTAAAGAATCTTTTAATCTTTTTTTTACCCTCGCAGAGCGTATTATAATTTCAGTCAGGAGTTTGCAACGCAGTGAACAATACACTTCGACCCCATAAAGTATATATAATTTTGATCAGAATCAAGATCTGAATTAAAATACGTCTGTACGTCTGTCCTTCTGTCTGTTTCTATGTAAACTAGTCTCTCAGTTTTTAAGCTATCTTGCTGAAACTTAAGGCAAGTACTAGTTCCCAATCCCAATAAAAAATCCAATTATTTCAAATTTATTTAATAATGGTTTTTCGTTTTCTGATTGAGACGATCTTTATTTATGCGAAGCTGCTGTTAGTTTTCTGTTTTTGTCTGGTTGTTGTTTTCCAATTTTTAGTTTTTTCAAATTGTTTCTCGATTATTACTAATTTTCGACTTGGTTTATGTACTTGGTGTATTTACATGATGTTCGTTTTGGGAATGCAATGTTAATAAATTGGTTTTTATTATGCTCAAGGTTGTGCATTATAAAAAAGTTTCTTTTGTTATTATTACGTTGGTAGCATTGTGGGGATTTTGGTTTTTGTAATTGATCTTTAAGAAATCTACTCGTATGTGAAATAATTTGGACAACAGAAATTGCCCCAATGGCTCAAGTGGTTTTCATTTTTTAACGTTTTTATATATATATCTTTTTTAACAAATATTTAGCAAACAATTCAGTTTGACTGGCATAGATTTAGCAAGTATTATTTAAAAAGAAATTAATTTTAAGTTATTAGATAAAATTATTTAACTACTAACTGTGTTGTTTTATTATTATGTACATTTCGTTCATTGCATTTACAAATTATAAAGCTTTGGGTATTGAGAATTTAAAAAGTGTTTTGAGATCTGCTTTTACCACTCATCAAATATGAGCACTTAACAGATTTTCTAATGCGTTTGAAATCTCTTGTTTAGCTTTTCTTAATTTCATTTTAGTTGCTAAGTTCATTAATGCTTTTGTTAAGTGTGAACTTTTATGGCTTTTTATTAGATCTATTTCATTTAAATATATTTTCATAATGTTACTGGTCTTTGGTTTAGCTTCTACTTTGTTTTATCAGCAGTTTAGCTTGTGAGGAGTTAAAAACGATCCCAAACTTAAATCGTTATAGGGCACAGGGGTTCGGTTCCTATCCATAACAACTAAAACTGTGTTTCGCTTGAAACCATCTAAGCAATCAATAAGTTTTTAATTCTCTCAAAGAAGGCACCTTTACCCAAATCGATTGCTAACTAACATTTAACGGAGTTATATGGTTAAGCGGTTTATTAAACATCGTTAAACAAATCGAATATAGTTTCTAAGGGTCCATCTTTATCGTATTTTATTTGTACATTCCGTATATTGGCCACATATTCAGCAATTTCCACTCATATATCTACCCTTCTCTGTATTTTGCAACAAAAATATTTTCTTGGACGCGATGAATTTGGATTTCCGGTTTTTGTGTATTATATAAGCAGCTAATTATTCAAAAAGATTCAAAATTATTTGGTATTGCTGGTCGAAAGTTTACTAAGCACTTCCATTTACTCAGATGTACATTTTTGTTTTACTAAATTGCAAAAAGATTGTCCTTGTCTTTGGGTTTTCTCCTCTTTTTTTAAATTGTATTTAGATATATTTATTTTTTTTTAAACAAGAATTAATTGAGACGAGCTTGCAAAAAGGCGAAAAGAAATTTCCCAAAAAAATCTACAAATCTCTAAATTCATAAATTTATTTATTTGCAAAAAGCATTTTGTGTATACGCATATTGTGTTCTATATAGTTAATATTGTTAAACAATTGGTAACGGTGGCCCTCAATAACCTGCTCTCAATTAATTTCAATAAAATTTCGTATGCAAAGGTTCGTTTAATTTTTGTTTGTTTTGTGTTATTTATCACAAGGTTTAAATTTGGTTTAGGTTTAAATTTGTTTGAATTTTAGGTCGTGCATCTTTTGGGTTTTGTTAATACATATTTTAATTGTCCTACAAACATTCGCAGATCGTTTGTTGACATACATTTTATCTAAAATACTTGGGTGTTAGTTTGTGAGTTCATAGTTGGGTTGGCATATGCATTATAGCTAGTTATGAGAGTTCTATAAAGTTTCTTGTCATATATTTTTTTGTAAATATTTTTTAGCTTCTTTTTGTGTTTCTTCTATGAGCTTTGATATGTATTTTAATAAAAGTTTTTAGGCAATTCCTGCTGCTACTTAAAAAGGCGTTGATGAATCAATCAAAATAAATATCTAAAGGTGTAAAATAATTAAATTTGATAACTGGTTTTTATACACTTATATAAAACCAATTTTTTCTGTTCTTTTTTCACCTGAATTTATGTTTAGGAAAGCTTTTTCTGTGGTCTACTTTGCGGCGGTTCCATTTCAATTTATGTGATGCAATTGAGTTAATTTTTATTTTATCAATTGAACATTTATTCAAAAATAAACAGAATTTAACTAAACATTTAAATAAATATTATATACAGTGTAGCATAACGTAAAATCGGTGTGGTGATTAACAATTGGTTTAATCTGTTTGTTTACTCTTTGACATTTGAGGAGGCGGTTCAACTCATCGAATGAATTAGAACAAAACTGGGTTTTAATTTCTTAATATTTGACTAGAGCTGTTTGTAAATATATAACATCTATGTGTGTGTGTATAAACAGTTTGCATCCTTTCGACTACTCAAATAGGTAAAGCCTTAAAGCTGTTTGGTTTGCGTTTCATATTTCATAATTATAGGCTAGGTCTTTTTATCTTCTTGGATCGTGTTTGTTTTTGGTACTTTCAGCATTAATTTCTTTGCTTAATAAATTGTTTAAATATTATATATTACAATTGCTAGACAGTGTTTCTTTGGTTGGTATAATTAACTAATGCATTTTCGAGCATATGCAAAAATTTGCAAATTTAATTTAAAGTATTTTTTTTGGTTTTTTTTTGTTTGTTTCTACTATTTTTAAAAAAGGCAGTCGAAAATGTTTCTTTCGTATGTTTGCTCATTTGCATAAATTTAACTTTCGTAAATATTAATTATTAACAACTTATTCATTTTGTTTTATCCCCGTTAACAACTCAGTTTAAACTAATTTTTCCTTTTGACGTTTTTATCACTGGTTTTGTCATGTTGCCATTTAAATAATCGTTAATGAGTAATTAGATGTACTTTGTGTTTCCCTTTGTTACATTAAAATTAGATGACTTTGCAAGGCCCTAGAAATTAGCAAACGAGTTTCCATGTCCGGTTTGCATGTTTCTCTACAAATTACTTTACGAATAATGCATTCTGCACTTCTGGCTTTGCTTCGGCAATTTAGCGTGTTCAAGTATCTATATATGTATGTTTATGCATTATTTGTTAGTGGTTTTGCTTAATTTTACGAAAATCCTTTATAGTGTACAAAGAAGAATATCAGAAAAATGGCATAAGCAGTTGGAAATGTAATTCTAGCGATGACATCGATCGTCTTGGCCACGCGAATTGGATGTGGTGGCTCTTTTTTCCTCACTTGAACGAAGCAGGTCTGTAAAACAAATGAAAAGTTGTAAATATTTGTTCCAAATAAAAAAGAAAATTAGTTTCTCCATTTTAAAATTGTATTTTAATATTTGTAATTCAAAAAATTACATATGTAGTTTCTATACTTTTTTATTAAGTTAACAGTCAATAAAATTATTTTTGGAGAAACTAATTTTAGGATAATTTTATTTATGAATATCTAGGGATGATCTCACCTCCGTGGCACAGCCATTATTCGCCGAATGGGTGCACGGACTGTTGCTGCCGCCGCAGGTGGTGCATGCCACAATTTCATTCGGTGCCCCGGCGTCGCGTCGCTTTTCGCCCTGATAGACGGCGGTAAATTTAAAAAACTTAATCGTTAATTTTCATTGAGCCACAGTGGTGGTTGGCAAACAAGTTGGCAATTTTACAAGTCAAATATAATTGGTGAAAAAGGAGTTATTTACACATACATACATACACACACAAACGCATACGGAAAAAAACGTAAAATTGGTTTTGGCAGTTGCAGTTTGGTTATATTTTGGTTGTTTGCATATCGTTTTTGCAAAAACCCAGCAAAAAGCGTATAAGTATGTTATAAATATATGAAAAAAGGTAGAAAAATATTTGAGTTATTAAAGTTTATTAAACATGTGGCACAAAAATTGTAATTGAAATTAACAAAAGTATCACTACGAAATTTGTCACAAAAGCGCTTCAAATGCTTTTACAATTTGAACTACAAAAAGAATTGAAAAACAGTATAAGCTATGTTAGTCAGCATACTTACGGGCTTTTAAATGTTATTATTATTTGTTTATGTTTATATCATTGGCAGCAGTTGAAAAAGCAAAAAAGAGCAAATTCGATTTTAGTACGGGGTATTCTATTTATAACCACAGCGCAATTTAATTAAATTTGTTGAAATTTGATTCAAATTTTACTATATTTTTTTGCACGTACAGTATTTTATTTATTTGTTATTTTTGTTTAAGCTATAGCAGTTTGTATAGAATTTTGTATTTCGATTGATATGAGAATGGCATGAGAATTTTGCTGTGTTTTCATTATTAACTGGGTTTCAACTTAAATTTGGCTTAAATGGGATGAGAATTTTTTAAATAAAAAAAACACCAAATAAAAATATATTTAGTTTTAGTAATAGAATGTTTAGTTGTGTTTACTGTAAGTTCAGTGTGATGTAGAATGCATTTATTTTGTTATGATTACGAATATAATGATTGGAAATGAACTCAGACGAGGTTAGTTTGGGTAATTTTATGTAGAGTTTTGTGCATTTTATTGTGTGGGTTAAAGCGTGCTCTATATAGGACAATACTAGGCAGAGGTGTTGGGGTTAAAACACAACAAAGCTTATAGCTTTCATACTGGTATAGTACTTTATATACAGGCTGTTTACTATGTAAGCACACATTTAAAAACGAACTAAAGGTGTACTGGGTAAATCTTACAATACAAGTTGGACTCCATAAACGTTTCTTTCGAGCTTAAAAACACCAGAGTAATTGTTTTAATTGCATAACTACTCTGATTACAGTTCTGTTCCATGTAAATTGTTAGCTTAATTATCATCAAAAATTTGTGAGCGGTATATAAATAGTCAAAGGGGTCGTAGGTGGCAGGCTAAGAAATTAACTGCGTCCGCTGGCAAGTATGCTACAATTTATTGCAGCCACTGTGGCACGTACTACTACCAAGTTGCATCTGAAAACGCCAACGAACCAAGGGAAACGTATAGGGGTGGGGGTGGAAAATCAAGGGGATTTTCCGGGGGGATTTCTGGGCAGTCGGGCGGTGGAAGCCGACTTGTCTTTGTTTGCCAGCAGCTGGCGGGCATTTGCCGAGTGCACAAATGCAGCCAAAGGTGGCCGAAGGGGTTGCGAAAATGGAAAAGTCGGGAAAATGGGGAAAACGGGCTGGGAGGAAACAGTTACTTAGGTAAGATGTATTATGCGGGTGTGTTTAAGCAGCCAGAGAGCCGGATAACGTGGCTGACCTAAATTAAGCCCGCTTGCTGTGCCAGAACTTTTCTTCTCGTTAATTTCCACAAAATCAACAAGGCATTTTTAATGATCTATGATTCAAAGGGTATTGGAATTGTCTGTTATATATGTAAAAAATATGTTTGTTGCTTAGTTTATACATTCAAAGAGCGGCAAAAACGATTATTTGTTTGCTCTTGAAAGTTTTTTTTTTAGAATAAAGTGTCAAATTATTCTAGCGCTTTTTATCTTAAGTACTTAAAAAATTCGAGATTTCCTAAACAATAAGATTTCTTATATACTTTATGCGAAGTGCTCCCCAAACTGCTTATTTGGCAATTTAATTTTATTAACACAATACTGTGAAAAACACTTGAAAAATGTATGACAAGTGAAGATTTATACGCCCAGTGCAATTAGCATTGGCGAGGAAAAGTGTGAAGGAAAAGTATCTTCCCTCGTGAGTTTTTCGCCGAACTTTCCGAATTTGCATAAGACTCCCAAAGGGAAAAGTCTGCTTTAAAAAGCCGCGACTCGAACTTTTCCGCTGAAAATCTTTGCGCATCCTTTCGAGAAAATTTTCGGCTATTATGATGCATGTACCGACGCGTTTTATTTTCGTTTTTTTATCCACGTTTTCATTTTCATTTTCATTTTCATTTTCCTTTTCTGCCTTGGGCCGCATCCTTCGCATCCTTCGCTGCCATTTGTTTGTGTTTCATTCTCGTGTCGTTGGTTTTTCCGGTGCTCTCGGGCTCATTACGGCATTTTCCACTTTGGGGCGCTCATGAATAATTATGTTGTCCTGTTGCGGCACAGTCATCCTGATGTCCACCTGGCCGGGCGCCAATTTAAACGCGTACACCATTTTTAATTTACATGCTAATGGTGGAAAACATTTTCCCAGCCACCTTGTTGTTGACGGTTTTCCGTTTTCTGGCCAACTGGCTGCAACTCCTTCATGGGCCGCGTATCCTGGCGTTCTGCTTCTGCTGTCGGAAGTCGTCGTCAGCGTTTCACAATTTCCCATAAAATAGTTTTGCCGCTTTTCATCACGCCCACTTGCGTTGGTTTTATTTGGTTTATGACGTTCCTATCTTGATGGCGGTTTTCTCCTCCATTCCGATAAGTTTGATTTACTTGGCCGCTTTTGGGGGGAAAGTTTTGTGATTTATGCGCTGGCAATCGCTTGCAAATCTTACCATTGAAAGTGAAGTCGAGTGGTTTAAATTTCTAAAGAACTCTAAAGTTTTTACAATTAATGAGCTGTAATTCTACTTGCCAATTTATAAAATTTGATTTCTAAAGTGGAAAACAAAATAAGAGTTTAAATTTTTCAAAATTGCTTATTACTGCATATAGCAAATAAAATGAAGAAATATATATTTTCTTTTTTGCTTAAACTATAATACTAAAGATTTAAGACATCAAACCCCATTAAACCTGAAGCAATATTATCCCCAAGTAAATGACTAAAACACTTTAACTAAGGGTAATTAGTTGAGAAAACATCTGCGTTGCTTGCATTTGATTTCGCAAGACAACTTGCGAAGCAACCTGGCTTTTAGCCCTAATTGCTTAACCCTTTGTTTTCTTTTGGCCACCAATCGCTCATGTCTAATGCAGTTACTCTCGTTAGTCGTTGTTAGTCTTTCATTAAAAGTTCAATTGCAAGTTTGGGAGAAAAATCCAACTTTTGGGGTGCGTGTTTGAGGGTGTTTGGGTGCATTTTGTGGGTGATTTCATTTTTTGTTTGGCAAAAGGCAAAACGGCAATCAAAATAACCGCAGGCAATCAAGTTTGTTAAGGGACGAACTTTGCTGTTCGCCTTGGGGCCAACTTTCTTCTTGCTGACGTTTTTCTTTGGCTCCGGCTTTTTATTTTCTATTTTTTTGTACATTGTTATGGTTAGTTATAAGTTATTAGTCGGTTGTGCAAGCAACAACAACAAGAATGAATGCGTTTTTTTTTCTTCTTAGGTGGTTTAATTTTTTGTTAGTTTTCGGGAGCGTTTTTTGGTATGTCCTTTACTCACTGTAGTTTCCGCAGTCTCGAAGGCATCGCTGTAAATGGATGCTGGTGAATTGGAGCGTGAAGGCTTCCTGCGCGGCGGTTTCTGTGGCAAGGACAACTGCCTCTCGGTCATTTCCATATCCTGCTGGGGTTTCGCTTCCCCATCCTGATCGGTTTCGGCCTCGATCCTCACGACCAGGGCCGGTGTACTGGTGGCCACCGATCGACGGAGGGCCAGGGACTCCGGCTCCTCCTTCAACTCGTCCTTGAACTTCACCTTGGTGTTGGTGGCACTGGAGGCGGGCTCTTCGTATATGTGCTCAGTGGCTTTGCCACTGGGATTGGGCGATATGGAGGTGGAGGGACTTCTGGCCGCCTTCCGTTTTATCGAGCGTGCCCGCAAGTTTTGAACCGCAGCTCCAATGATGCCGCCGTGCGCCTCCTGCCATCGCATTCCGCCGCCGAAGAACTCCTCCGGATCGGCGGTCCTTGGGGTTCCGGGCGTGGCCGTGGCCACCGAGGAGGAGGCGGCCGGTGTGCCACCGGACATGGGCGTGGCACCGCCCATCATCGACATGGCCGGCGTGGCAGCGGCACTTGCCTTTTCGGAGGACAAAAGCGGCATGAAATTCGCGTTCGATTATTTCCTACAGAGCAGGTTGGTTCAATGGGGATAGTTTTTTGTTTTGGATTGGTTCTGAGCTTTGGTTTCTTTATAGTGTTCTATTTTTTTTTTTTTGGTTTGGTTTGGTTTGTTTGAACGCGAGGAAGAGAAAGACAATTTTCGGAGAGAGACACACAGGTGGTTTTAGTCAGGATAATCGAAGGCCACACAAGTAATTGGGTTAATTGATGGGCATTATCAAGAGAGGTTACTTGGACTCAAGCGGTTGTTGTGAAAAGGTTAGTCAGTTTGGTTAAGTAATACCATATTAATTAACTTTCCCTAGTTGCGTCGAAATTCAATTTTAAATTTTTACCTTTTGCATTGCAGAAATTCTCTCAAAATACTTTAAATTGCAAGGTGATATTTAAAGGAATTGTCTCGTTTACTTAAAAAAGCAAAAACAGACCTTACCATTTAATAAAACAAGCTTATAAAAAATATCTCTTATACTTTTCAAATACTATCTTTTGTGACAAAGAAAAGTGCTCAGTTTATGCACTGTTTGCTTAGTTCTTATGTTTTCTTTTTGTTGCTATACGAAAATATACCCATAAAAGCATTCAACGATGGTTTCGGTGTCTCGTATGTAAATTGAATGAGTGTTTTTTATATATTCATTGACAAACATACAGATGCACAAAATGCACTAAAACTATTCGCCTAAACAAAAAGCTTTCAAGCGAACACAGACAACACAAAATAACCAAAAACGCAAATGCTTCAGCTACTACTTGTTAGTACTTGTACCATAAATAATAGTGGCCAACATTTCCGGCACCATATATCTTTTGGTTTTTTTATTCGAGTAAACGAAAGAAATATTTGTTTTATAAGTGGTGGAGGGCGTGTCAGAAAATCAATAAAGAACTTAATTCAAATGTATTTTTTTAAGGCAAATTTCATTTACTAAAATTAAAATGTAAATCAGGGACAAATAACAAAATTGATTTATAGCTTTTCCGATAACATTTTTTTCGTATAAGTAAGAAGAGAAAGAATATTTTTCCATATTAATTGGTAATCTTTTTTTCGCTTTTTTGTTACAATTTTCTCTCGTAACATTTTTCCCAATTGTAAGTGACCTTAAAGTGTGTTTTATTAATATATATCGTTTTTTTTTTCATTTATTTTTCATCATGAGTTTTTATATGTTGTGGCTGTAGTTGTCGTTTCTGCTGTTGGTTGTGTGAAACAGATTCTTCAAAAACAATTAAGCTACGCATATCATGTACGCATAGAATTGGCTGTCAGGTGTTTAAGTACATTACGAGTTTGTTTATGGTTGGATAAAAAAAAAACAAATAATTGTAAGTAAATTATGGAAATAATTATTGTAGTAAATATGGAGTTATATACATTGAAAGCGAGTGCGAATCTACTAGGTAATTATTTAAATTTGAATTATAGTTATTGTTATTTTCATTGGTTTTCCGTTTGGCTCGAAAATTAAATGAAACTCTGTTGTTTTGGGAAACACAAAAACCAAAATCGAAACAAAACTTTCTCAATGCATTTCATCAAAGCGAAATTCGCATGCCATTTTTTTTGTCTTAGGTTTACTTTTCGCTGTTTGGTCGGGAGAAGGGGGAAAAAGGACTCGGGGGTGTACCAGTGTGTGTGTGTGTGTGGGTGTGTGTTTCAGAGTTGGATTGTGTGTGTGTGTTTTTAGTTGGTTTATTGCTGCTGTTTGCTGCTAAATGGTTTTGTTATAGTTTTCTGGTTTTCTCAAGGGGGGCGGGGCGGGGTGGTGCATGAGTTGTGGTTGATAGCTTACCAAAGGACTTGCAAGAATTACTCCGATCCTGCTTAGTACTGCTGGAAGACGCTGCAAAAATGTACACAATACAATGTTCATACTCAAAACACACTTTAAGTTTGGTTTGGTTGTCATTTGGTTTGTTTGGGTTTAGTTTTGGTTTTTGTCTTTGTTTGTTCTCACTTAGCTGCTAATTTCGAGAATAAATTAAATTTGGCTGGTGGTTAATCGAATAGTTGCATATCACTAAAATTGGGAACAATGTTCGATTTTTTATAGTTTCGCTTACGTCATTTGACTCTTTTAGTGGCGTTTTCTTATTGGAAAATAAGGTATTTTTATGATGCATGGGGCTAAAAAAATGGCATTGATTTAAGTGGCTTTACAGCTTAATTTATTTATGAGTTATCTAGTTATTTCATTGATTTTTTTCTATCATCCACTTAAATTAATTCCACTAAAAAGGATTTAAAGTTCGTAAATCACATCAAACAAAAATGCTTAACGTGCATTATTAAACGATTTATTCTTAATTCGAAAAGTGCCTACGTAAAAACAAAATGCATACTTTATTGTTTTTATTTTGTAAAATCAATTTTAGTTTTTGTTGCTTCGCTTTCATAGAAATTAATGAAAACATAAACATACCTACCTACGGGCATGTTAAACGCTTCAATTGTTTTATTATTATTGTTCATTTTATGTTTGATTTTTTTTTTTGTTTAATATTTGCAAACTAATCGGAGATGAATAAACGCATTGTTTCCTTGCGAACGATTGTATTATACAACACTTAGAAAATAATTAAAACATAACAGAAATAAATGTATAGATTTCTATCGTAAAGGGAGGATGGGCTGTTGGCATTTATCACTTCGATTGGATTGGTTAATAAAAATGCAAACAAATAATACAACTGAGCATTGGCACAATTATTACACATACATAGACAGTATCTTGAGGTTGGACAAAAGTCAAAATCAAAAAAGAAATGTGTGGACAAAAATCAAAGGGAAACACGTTCGGTTTAAATCTCTTAGTTATTCGAAGGACACACAAAGTTACGTTTAGTAGGATAGTTTTAAAAAGTTGTTGTACAAAATGCTAAGTTCGGGATCAACACAAAGTGAGTTTTTATAGCGAGCATTTTGTTGTTGATAATGTAAATATGGCAATGGTTCTATCAACTAAAGACCGACAAATAAGACTGGACAGTACACGGATAGGTGATCAAAAGGGTATTTCGGGTATACGCAGATAGATAAAGGAAGATATATAGACGGATAGAGAGAGAGGGAGAGATAGACAGAGAGAGAGAGAAAGAGAGAGGGACGCAACACAATGGCGGTAATCGAATTTGTTTTGACTGAGTTTTCATATATATATATATATATAGATTTTTCTGTTGTATGACTTTGGGCTCAGGTGTTTCTGGCTTCTTAAACAAAGGAAGAACAAATAACTTGAATAACTTATATAGTACGAATGTTGGTTGTTGTGTTCGCTGTGTGTTCCATTTTTATTTCATTTGCTTGGTTTGTTTGGTTTATATAGTATAGTATATATATATATAGTATAGGTATATTTGGTTGGCTTTGCACGCTCATGTAAAATTCATATTTAATTGCTTTCAAAATGCATACGAAATTAGCTTTTTTTTCGGTTGGGGCGGGGCTGCCTGGGTGTGAATTGGATTAAATGATTATTTAATTTACCTGTGTTACGGGATTCTCGCCGGGACGATAGACGACGTTGTGCAGGGGCCGCTTTCGCCCCACATAATTGACGCAGACGAACTCCAGCAGGGAGGCGTAGATGAAGCACATGCACACGCCGTCCCACACGTTCATCGCCGTCAAATTAGAAACAACCGGCAGAGTGCTCCGGAAACCGTTCGAGGTAGTGAAGAAATTCAGCATTGTTGTCACGCCTTCGCGTTGTTCAAGTTGTTCATGTTGTTCAAGTTGAGAGCAGGTCGTTTAAAGTTGGCAAATGTGGATTGCGGATTGTAGAGAAACTTGCATTAGCCATTTGACACGTAATTAGAAAAGCATTGCATACTTTTTGGGGCTTTGGGGGCGGGGCAAACGGGTGTTTTTTGGGCGGAATGGCAGTATGTGGTATGTTTTTGGTGGCGTTTAGTTGACTTGTTTAATTAGTTTTGGCATATGTACAAAAGATTTTAGTTTTAATTTTATGCGTCCGGGATCCGGGCGTTAGTCGTTATGTCATAATTTGTTTTTGTTTCATTTGTTGGGTTTTATTTTGTGGTTCATAAAATGTGCAAAAGCTAAAGAAAAGTAAACAAAACTACTGAGTTGAAAAGGCGAAATATTTCTAAGCATTCGGTTGGTTGCTTTTGTTTGTGTTTTATTTTTTTCCGCTGATTTATGGTTTTTCAATCATTTAATCGTTTTTTATTTATGAGAAAGTAATAAAATTATTTATTGCTATTCATTTTTAATGTTTATTGCTTTCTGTTAACCTTAAAAGCTTTTGCACAATAAACGCAATTACATTTGCATTAATTTAATCAATCACAATGCTGTAAAGTTCTTCTCTTTCATGAATATTTTATGACGCTGCAAATACTATATTTCTTGCTTCATTAATCAGGTTTTTCCCCATTGGCCGAAGCGAGACTCCAAATCAAATTAATCAGGGATAATGCTGGCATTTTAATTAATTATTCAGCTCATGTCTGGTCGACATAAGAATGCAATTGGCGGATGAAGCGGGGATTGCGACATTATCAATCTTGGCTGCCTAATTAGTTGCGTCAACAACTCGCCAGCTGGCTTGAGTGCAATGGAATTTAACTAGTTTGGTATGCAGCAAGGAGCTCTCGCCTCGCTGTATCCACGAACTCCATCGATTTTCAATTTGCCAGCGTTTCGGTTTCCGCCCTACACTCTTCAAAAAGGAAAAGGGGAAAATATAGGAAATCCCGGCGCTGCAATCGACTGAAAATGCTTCGAGGAAAAGCTGGAGCGTCGAGCGGGTCACAAATGAGGCAAGGAGATGCTGCCACGCTAAAAGGAGCTGCTGCAAAATGCATGCAACGTCGGCACTTTGACTTACAAAACGGCATCGCTTGCCTTCAGCCACTTCGCCCTTTTTTGACTATTTATTTATTTAGTTTCCTTTTGTCACTGAAATGTCGTTTGATTGTATTTCCTTCGGGCAGACAATGCCAGCCAGAAATGGAATTATCTTTCTCTTTTCGATTTTCAGAAAGCTATTTGAGTGCTTTGCTAGCGTTTTGTCAAGTGCATTATTACTAGAAAAATTGTTAAAGATCATGTCGTTTTGTTGTTTAAACCTATAACTTACTTATGTCTGTTTAATCATCTCCAACTTTGGTTGCAATACAAACTTATTCTAAACCTAACTGATTTAGCATACTACGAAATAATATTGTATGATAAACTATTCCCTTTGCAGCCCAAACTCAAACTGATGACCAACTCTTGGTGTATTTATTCTCTGTGCACATATTTTCCTGCAATTTAAAGTCAAGTCGAGCACTAAGCCTTTTATAATCCCCATCTGGTCTTCCATCTCTGTCCCTACTTTGTATGTAGTTTCTGCATTACACGCACAGAGAGCTCTCTGTTCTATTTGGCTAGTCCATGTTGGCCATATGGCTTATGCATAAATCATCATGTGTGTTGTGGCCCCCGCTCCACGTCATTCTCATCATCATCGTCATCGCAGGGATGTGGATAACACAATTCGTGGCGAAAACCAGGAAGCGGCCGTGTCCCTTTTTCGGTGCCTCCTGTCCAGGAGCAGCTGCCAACGACGCAGGACACTGATGTTTCGACTGACATTCCCTCTGCGAAGCTTTCATTATTTTCATTTAGATTTCCCTTTCTCGCTTCTCACTCTTGACCAGGATGGAGAGTGCTAATTGCATTAGATTTGCTCCATTCACCATAAGCAGGTGAAGAAAAATTATGGAAGTGGGCCATAGAAAGCATTCAGCTCTAACTTTGAATACAAAGATTGAATAGCAAAGCTCTTTTATAAAAAGCAATTTATTTTTGTGCTGCTCAATTAAAGGTTTGACAAAATACAGACACATCAACACATTTTTTATATTTTTCAGAATTAGTTTAAGAAACAGTTGGTTCTATATTTGTTTATATTTTATTTTATTTTCATTTATTTTTTATTATTAATATTTTTGGTTTGCGTTTGCTTTGATTTTTGTTATTAAATGTTTTATATTATTTAAAGTTTTTTTAATGTTTGTTTTAAATATTGTTCTGTTTTGAATTTAAGTGTTTTAATCTACTTGAAAGTAAATTTATTTAGCCTTAGCATGATGTTAGTATTAAGCTTCAGTTTCGTAAATGTTTTTACCAAAGCTTCTCTAGAAAAATAAAGCTTAAAGGGTTGCCTATTTTAAGTTAAGAAGTCATGCAATGCACAAGGTCTTAAGGGAATTGGGCGTTTACCAAATACGAGTGCAGGAATCGAAAAAAAACAAAATGAGTAAAGTAACATTGCTTAAATCAGTTCAAGTAATGAACCGAAATGAAAAAGGAATCCATTTAAATCGAGCGGCTAGCTAAACTTGAATTTTAATGAGTTAGATGTTCCTAAGCTGTTCTAAGCTGGAAAAACACTTCTATATTATTTATGCATGGCCAATTGTCTCGTGGTTGCGTTTAAATTTTGACTAAAACTTACTGGACAGCTACATTTCGTTTTACGACTAAATTGTGATTTGGATTGGTTTTTCATTGATTTTGGAAGACTTCGATTTTTGTTTTTGGTTTAGTTTTCAGTTGCTTCATTGAGAATTTGGAACTTCTTTTGGTTTTTGGTTTCTTTTGTTGGTTTTAGATTTAGCTACGTACCGATCATAACCCGGGCTGGGACTGCATTCCATTCCAGCCAAAATGTGATAAACGACGAGGTGACCAATATAATGCCAGGTATGAAAACGGTTGTAAAATAATACGCACGATCACGGGTAAATGTCAACTCGACCTGTAGGCAACTGTAATTACCTTAAGAAACAAGGCCGGAATTATGCAAATTCGGCCAGAGGTTAACACACGCACACACACAGAGACAGACAGTGAGAGAGAAAGAGATAGATTGAGAGGCCTATTTGGTAGGAGGACGAATTTAATTATCTGAGGGCCTAAAGCTAGCCTAAACTATTTCCCGATTTTTGGCTTCTTTGTGGCTGAGCTACACTCTGATTTCAGAACGGAACAAAAATGTAAACTTGAATAAATTAAATGGTGGTTCGGTAATTTGGGCTTTGCTTTCCAGATTTTTTGGGTGGGGTGGGTGGCTATCATTCAAGGAACAGAACCCATGCAGCAATCCTTAAACTCTAAGATCTTGTTCGGTGTGGGCATACTTTGGGTGGGCACTGTATTTCAAATTTTTTTGCTACTACTTTGGCCGCATTGAAATGAAATGGAAAAGTGACAATCAGAAATCATAAAATTGTACAAATTACATTACAGAAGGGCAATCGAAAAAGGCAAATGCTACGAAAGGCGGAAAGTAAATCAATTCTCAATGGCGTACAAAATTGATTTTTGGTTCGGTTAAATTCTTAAAAGTACATATTTTAATTAAGAGTATATATATTTTTTTTGGTTTGGTTTTGGTTTAGTGTGAGAGAGAGAGAGAGCGAGGGCAAAAATTGGTTATGGTTGTTTTGTTTGATTGGTTGGTTGGTATTTTTTTTGGTATTGTTACCTATCATCGATCTAGCTGGCACGGCATTCCATTCTAGCCAGAAAGTTATAAAGGATGACGTCACCAATATAATGCCGGGTATAAAAACGGTGGTGAAATAGAATGCACGATCTCTGGTAAAGATTAAATCGACCCTAAGACAGCTGTAGTTCCCTAGGGGCATTATTTGTTTTGTTTTGGTTTTGTGGATATTTTTTGTTTGTTGGTTGGTTGTTTTTTTTGTAGCGTTTTTGATAAGAGATTGGAGGAGCGGGAAGGTAGACAAAGAGTAGACCATTAGATAGGCGTTGGATTCATTTTTGTAGATTCTTTGCTAAAATGTAAAAGCTGCAAAAGCAAGTCTAGCCGGAATCTGAGACTACGAAAGAAAATCAAGAGAAAATCAACTTTAAAAGCCAAGCCAAAGAATGGAGAACTAAACTGAGAAGGTCCGTTTGGTAGGAAACCTAAAATAATTGTTTCGAATACGCCTTTTTGTATGTTGAATAAAGAAAATATGTACCATGTTACCAGAAAACACTACGATTACTAAAGAGCAAAAAGTATCCCAGTTATATAATTTCTTTGGCTAATACAAAGTATAAGCAAATGAAGTGATTGGCAATCGAGTCGAGCTGAGCTCCCAATGACTTACCTCTCCAGCTGTTCTGATCGCAGGCCGTCGTCTGATTCTTGATCAAGTAGGCGTTTAATGTGGTCAGCGAAGGGCTTTTCCTCAGGGTGTCCTCATCGTTTTTCCAGACGTACTTGATTTGCGCCTCCTCATAGGAAACTGAGCAGAATAAAAACAAGAGAAACATGACTTAAATGACTGACTTGCTCAATTAGATTACATGCTCAAGTGCCAAGTAAGCCCCTCATCCCCGTCATCCCATCATTAATTAATTAGATTAATGTAAATAGGCGGGCATACACAAATGCATATTGTCTGGGCCATTTGTCAGGGTTTGGGAGCCGCAGACTCGGCAAATTAAATCATATTTGACAAACAAGCCACGACAAAAGGCACAACACTTCGATGGATGCTTCCCGCACTCGTAGATGAAAATCTCGGCGGGAAGCGACATCATCATCCTCTCAAAGTAATTTACGATGTTGCTCACGTTCTTAGCCGATGTTTCCAAGAGGGTTGGCAACCGGAAACAACTTTTCGAAAACAATGTAAAGACAAAAAGCCCAGAACAAGCCTGACTGTCTGTCTGTCCCTCAGTCTTTCTGTCTGTGTGGCATCCAGTCAGCCTTGTTAGTCACTTTGTCAGCTTTTGTCCTCCTCCTGCTCCTTCTGATTCTGCCACGCCCCTTCAGGCCCCCCATTGTTGCATAAACACACACACACCCACAACCGAACACTCGACAGAATGCAGATGGAAGCAAAGATTTCCCCTGAGTGGCAGTCAACACGCTCGCCTGCCCATCTTTTTATCATCAGAAAATCGGAACATCAACATCTTGAGGTTCCCTCTCAGCACTTTGCAATTGTCACATTGTTTGAACATTAATCCTATTCGTTGGCTATTCAATGGCATTATTTAAAAAATACTTGGCTCTCAACATTTGTTTTTGACATCTTCATGCTTAAAATTAAAATGATTGGAGGGAATATTTTCATTTGACTAACACAGGTTGAACTTTTTAAATTAATTTGAATACCCTCCATCTTTCGATTTTATAACAATTATACAAATAAATATTGTTTTACTTACTGCTCTCCATGGAGAAGGAACACTTTGGATCGTCGAATGGAAATATGTGAAGACTTCCCTGGCAGGATAAAATTAGGTGACGTCTGAAAGGAAAATGCCACAACAAACGTTTTAATTTAAACTGACCCAATTAACAAACTTTAACTTTAATTATGAAATAAACCATTTTATACCCGCCCGTTTATTTAACTCACTTTAATGTTCTTAAGAGATTAAATTTATTGCCCGGAGGTTTTTGGCAAATATTGTACTTGAAAATCCTTGACTTGCTCATATAATATTATTTATGTAGCTAAGAATGAAATGCAAATCGACATAAACACACACAACTCATGTTTTATCTAAGCTTTTAATTATTTTTCAAATGTTTTTTGATGAGCGGCAGTCGTAAAACATTTTTGACCTTTTAATTCTTTGAATTTTCTCCTCGAGCAATTTCATGCTTGTCTTTGCCACTTAATATCACGCTTTGTTCGGGAGCATCAATTCATAATTTTCCACTCCGTGTCGCTGTCGCTTTTCCAGCAAGTTTTCCCGACGTTTCCCCTTGTCGGCTATGCAAACAGCAAAAGGGAAATGCTGGACCAGAAAAAGCTGGCAAAGTAAATGGCAACTGCAACTTATTTTAATTGCTGGACGACACTTTTCCGCTATGCAGTCAATTGGAAAAGTTCTGTTGAATTAAAAATGCAGACAAGTTGGGGAAAAAGTGGAGAGCACGGGCGAGAAAAGGGGTAAGAAAGACAAACATGGCCATCCAACAAATGCTGGCCATATTGTAAAAAGTTTCTCCTTTTTTTTTGCTCCCAGCAAACAGCATACAACCTGAATTTCCCGCTGGCCAGGAGTCTGGATATATGTACTTTGTACCTGGCCAAATATTTACATACCTACTTTCTCTTTTTCTGTTTTTTTCAGCATTTTACTCATATTCCTATACTTCTGTATGCTGCCTTCGCCATATCTTGCGCTATTTTTCATTACGGCCTCGTATGTTTGCCGGCTAGCTTACATATTTTCGTGTGCCCTTTGCTCAAATTTTCCACTAGCCAGCCAGCCAGCGAGAAAAGTGTGGAAAACTGAGCAAAAAGAAGCAAGAGCAAAAATGTAGATAGAATAAAAAAATATTGCCGCTCTGCCTGTCATCTTGCTCTCCCTAATGAATATGAACTTTGAGCGAAATTTGCATTTTCTGGCGCCATTAAAGCCGCTTAGCCCGGCCTCGTCTGCTCGCCTCCTCGCCTCCTCGCATTTTTTGTATAAAAAATTCATTCATATTCAAATCGGGGGCTACCGAAACGAAACGAACTACAGACGAACGACACACACCTCATTGCGTACGTAATGGTCCCGTTCCGAAATATTCTTAAAGCGAAATGCATTGGTATGATGGGATCCTTGAAGTCGCCATGCATAATGAAATACGTATCCGGCGTCCAGATGCTATCATGATGATGCAGGGCATTCAAGAAGTCGTAATGAGACTTATTGCCATATTGCAGTCGAGGATCGTTCCACTGCTGGTTGAGCAGAAATTCCACCTCGTATTTCTGCAAGTAAAATTGTTTTTTTTTTATATAGCAAAAAATCAAGGTATTACTTTCAATCGTCCTTGGACTCACCAAACTGCTTTCGTCGGGCGATGCTAAGCTCAGGAGCAGCACGTTCACGTTCACCGTCAGAGTGCCTATTAAAAAAGGATTTAGGTGTACACAAAGGCGGTCTACTTAACATACATTTTATTGAAATTGGAAAGATGTGCCGGGAGAAAGAAAAAAAGTTCGAACTACCAATGACCAGATAAAAAGAAAGTGCTACAAAATAAGTTACAGAAGAAAGTAAAGAACTAACTAATTATTGAGTACCCCAATTTAAACTCAAAGTTTTAATTACGTAAAGTGCTTTATGAATTTATGAAACTTAAAATCACTAAGAATTAGTGCATCCATTTTACTATATATTTTGGAAGACACCAACCGCGATTATGTGGTCTCCGTGCATTTTGATTAGTTGCCATATCGGGCGATTGCAAACCACAGCAAAAGTCTTCATCTGCAAAAATTCAAGGATAGAAGTCTGAGCAAAAACCAGAACAAAAGTTTCACTTTAAGCTATTTGAAAATTAATTTCTGATCAATAGTGGCTTATCTCCCCTCAATAGCAAGATATTAAACTTTATAACTTTATAAACATATCGAAAGTAATTGCATTACATAGATGGTCTGACCAAAGATAGTGGTTCCCCCTCCACAAAAGTGTCCACTTCTTTTGTGCATCGCATCCAGGGCATTGGAGCCATTAACTTTAATTGATTTTATAGTGTCCATCCATAGTGGTGGCTCCTCCAATTGTTGTCTGCTGGTTGTCATTTAGCAACCAACACTGAAAGTATCTCTCCATCCCCTTTTTTAACTCTTGCCGGCGACTTTTAATGGCACAAAAACTAAGTATAATTCTTACAAACTCTCTCCACTTAGTGAAATTGAAAATTGAGTCAAGACAATGGGAAAATGGCGGATAAGTTCTGCAAGTTCTTACCATTTACAGGCGGCAGTAATCGTTTATCGTATCGCTTCTTTTCAAGCAGTAAATCTAATATCTCCTTATCCGAACTGGACTCGTCGAATCTGTGGGGAAAAGCATACAATTAGCTTGGAATGTTCATAAAGTTTTCCATTCTATGTTAGTTTGTGTTAGTAATTGTAAAAAAAAGCTGGTTTATTCTCCCCAGGAATATTTTATGTACAACAGTTTTGTGTGCTGTTTGCAATTGATGGGAAGATTGTTATATTCTGGATAAATAAGTCGAACAACAAATCGATTAAAACCGTTTAACTCGTAAGAAGCAGTAAGTTATTTAATTTTCTATTTAAAATATAACTTCAATTAATTAAATTTTTGAATCTGGTAAATATTGGATTTGCCATGAAGTAGTTTATAAAGCAATTTAGTTAAGGCAAATCATAAACTTGTTTCCAAATTGCATGCATAATATCAGCAGATCGAAGCTGAGAAAATCCAATTACCTTAACGAAAAATTAAACAAACTCAAAAGGTATTTTGTGTGCCAAAACGAAACTTCATAATTTTTATAAAAGATTGAACTGAAACTCTAGTTTGCTCTTTTTTCATATAATCTCTGTTTTCGTTTCTTTTATTTGTTTTTAGAAAGGGAAGGAGGTGTGCATTAACTTACTTCGACCAATCGATGCCATGACTGAAAGAATTTCAAAAAGGAAAAAATAAATAGAACAATTTTTGTACGTGTTATGGAAGGGATTGAAAGGCGATACAGATTGATAGATACATGGAGACACAAAAAAATAGTTGGGAAAATAGAAGGCAGTGTGTGTATTCAGGGGTAACAAAATCAAATTTTGGTGTTCTGAAATGCATTTTGGGTATTTTCATGAGTGCAGCATATTTGCCATGATTTTTTTTTACTTTTATTTAGATGAGATACTACAAAAGTTGCGATTCTTTCTATAAAATATAAATATGTAATTGGTAAAATTGTCAAATTGTCAAATGTAACCATCAATAAGTCATCTTTAGTCTTAGGTATTTTAATTTCAATAAAAAGTAATCGTTTCCGATCTCATTTTGATTCTGAAAAGCAAGTATGAAAACGGAAGTTGCAGATTTGCTTTCTGTAAATGCAATGCTATTTAGATTTTCTTCAAATATCAATTGAAAAATCAAGGCAAACTGTGCAGTGAAGTGGACTCCGAGCGGATGCCACCCGGTGGGGCACTCACATGGGATGCTTGTCGAGGGCACCCGCCTCCGCCTGCGTGGCAGCCGCCGCAGAGGCGGTGGTCAGGTAGCACAGCATCAGGATGACGCTGGAGGCGGCGTAGAAGCTGATCGACTGGCTGTAGTGCTTGTAGTGCTGGCCGAGATACTGGAAGGCGGCCGCCGAGGTTGCCGCCGCCGTTGCACCGACGTTCGCGATGAGGGCCGCCGACATTGTGGCGGGCATTTGGCTCTCCGCGTACGCATTGCCTTGCCACGAGCGGTAGGCTAACGAACCTGGCTGGCGATCGTGGCAGTCCTGGTGATCCCGGCACTCCTGTTTCAGCTGCAGCGTTTTCGCTAAAGCGGCGATGGCGTGAAAGTGCAGGGAGAGTGCCGAGATGCCAGAAATCGCTGGGACTTGGCTCGCAGGATCCGACGGGTGGCGCCTCCGCCGGCGGACATGTGGATGTGGATGCTGCCGCTGCCGCTCATCGTTCCCATCGAATCGCTCGCTTGCTGCCGCAATATTGATTCCAATTCTGGCCGTCGTCGTTGTATCGACAATGGATCCTTGTGTCGCCAACGCGTCCTCGCCTTCGTCCTTGTGCGTTTGAGCCACTTGAACACCCCGCCCGTTGTTCTCCTCCCGGCGCAACGTTAAAAGCACTTGAGCCGTCGCTTTTCGATGGTCGGCCACAGTTTCTGCTTCTGCCTCTGATTGTGTTTGATTTTTGGTTTGGGTTGGGATTTGGGCTCCTTCTTCTAGTTCTGCTGCTGCTCCTGCTCCTTCTGTTTCTGTTTCAGTTTCAGTTTCTATTTCTATTACTATTTCTACTTCTGTTTGTGTTTCGGTTTGCGTTTGCGTTTGCGTTTTATGGCTTTGTTGATAGTTATCCTTGATTTTGATGTCCTCAGCTGGTTTGTCGCCTGCTCCTCTGACGGCGGCCTTGCCTCCCTGGCTCCCCGTTGCCGTTGTCGTTGCCGTTGATGCCTTGCCACGGCATTGGTTGCGCCTCGGTTGCTTGCTTCTCGGTTTGTGGGGCTGCTCTTTGGCCGCTTCAAAGACGCAGCCCATGTTACGACAACTGCAAGGAGACATGTGATAAAATATGAGGGCTTTTATTTCAAACTGTACGCTCATTCGGAATTGTTATTTAATGTACACCGTTTACTCGGCATAAAAACAAGATGTTTTACTATTTTCTGCTGAATATCTTGAAAAGGATTCAAACAAGATGTTTTACTTATTTCTGCTGAATGCTCTTTAATCAAAAAAGTTTTACTTCTTAAAAATCTTTGTTAACGAATTTAACACTTTTATATCTTCGACAAATAAACATTAAAAGTAATTTCTATTCTGTACCATATAAGAATATTTTTGGCTGCGAAATAAATAAATTTAAAGCAACAGGTAATTAAATGTAGCTGTATAATTTGATCGCATTTTTTATAGAAACGAAACTTTAATCACTTTTCTTAGATAATGTTGTTGCCAAACTTTTTATTTCAGTGCTAACCCAAGTAAACTATTATTCGGCATTTCAATTTCTTAGCGCCCCCACAGAACTAATTAACTAAGGCGAAGGCAATTCGCGCGGCACAATCTGAAATAAAAATCTATCGTCACCCACTTGATTTTCCTTTCGAATGACTTGACTGCATCAACACACAAAAAGAATTTGATTGATGTGGCTATATTGGATTGTTTCGGGCCAACGGCCACGCCCACCTGCGTGCACAAGTAACCGTAAATGTCAGTTGCCAAATAACACGGTTCCTGAAACCGATTTACGACTGACACTTAAAAACTTTTATTTTCCAGGTAACTTGGAGCATAAGTTTGCGACTTTTTGAAATTCTATTATAAAAGTTTACTGTAGTGCAATTGTGATTTATTGGGATTAAGTTTTAACCAATTAAAAAGCTGGGGGAAATATAACAAAGTTAAATTTTCCTTTTGTAAAAATAATAACAAAAAACAATAAATAGGTAAAAAATATAGGTAATTAGATGGAAATAATTTAATACAATTATTGAAAGAGTTTCTAATTCGAACTGACTTTTTATTACTGCAGAAAAGTTGTTTCTAGACAACGACCTGAAATTTCGTTTGATATGAATTGTCGTGATATCCATTACCAACCATGATCGCATTGCAGTCTGGAAATGTAGAAGTGTAAGCGGTTTAGGCCAGACCCAAAAACCGAATGTCAGTCAGCCAGTCAATGGGCCAAACGAATTTTTATTGTTGCCTGTCAAAGGCTGTCTTTTGCCTGTCTTCTCTTGGCTGCTGTTGTTGCCATTTCGTTTCTATTTCTTTTTTTGTTGGCCATTATATGTAGTTGTTGCTGTTGCGGTTGTCAGTTTGTGGCCAACTCAGGGAGGAATGCAATTTTCGTTTCGGCCAATCGTATATGTAGTTTTCAAGTAGGTACAAGTTTGCCTATATTTTGACATTTATTCAACATGCAAAGAATACAAGGGCCATTGCACTAACTGAAATGAATTTAGACCGCAAAAATTCAATTTCCGCTTTTGCTCCAAATAAAACTGAAGACTAAATGGCATCCATTGAAAACGAGTGATTTGGGTCTGATTAGTTACGTATGTATATGCTAAGGATTGTTTTTTTGGACACATGTATTTTTTTTTGGTATGTTAAAGAAATCGGCTTATGAATACAAAAAGCAGTTTAAGGAAATCGTATAAGCTGCTTAAGGAATATTTATTCTAATACTTTTAACATAAGTTTACACATTAGGAATCCGGAAAACATCGGAACAAAACCGCAGTCAATTTAAACTTGATTGCCTGAAACAGCTTATCCCCGGCCATATGGAAAAGCCAGTGAAAAACTTTGACATGAGTGAGTCTGCTCTCTGTGCTTTTCCCCATTTTCAGACGAAGCAAAACCGCAGAAAACACAGACAAACCCACCAAGGCGGGCATTCAGTGGCTTTGTGGCGTCCTTCTCCACATTCAGGGTCTTCATTATACATTTATTCGATTTTTACGTGACTTTGGCCATAAAGCACAAAAATAAACCCCAAGACGGCAGATACCAAAAGTAATAGGCCCCCGAAACTAGGAAAGGCCTAAGAAGTGGGCTTGTAAGTGGGTCTCATATACAAATTGGTACCAACATGGCGTATACGTGTTTTTTTTTTTTTTTGCCTCGGCCCACCCACATGTGCCAGGACAATTATTGACCTCAATCTATTTTAAACGCTTGTTCGTTCGACTTTATTTTTTGTTTTTCGGGTTGGTGCACCAAAAATGTCAAAAAACTTTAACGGAATGCGAACTTTTTGAGCAAACCGCAGAGGGTGAGAGGAAAAAAGGGTAAAAAGGCACAGAAATAACTGACCATAGATCAGTTCATACCGGGTTTCCTTTGAATCCTTGCCGGTCCTCCCCCGCTGATATCCTTCATGCCTTCCGGGGCATAAATTTATACAAGCCGCGCTCCAGAGTGCCAGACCACTGCAGCCTGGCCAAAGTTAATCCGGCCATCGTCTGGCGGCCGGAAACGGCGCCAACTGACAGCCCAAGCCAACAACTAAACCGAAACACAACCAATCCCCCACTATTCCCTCCCTAACCCCTCCCCCTCCCTTCATCCAATTTTTTCTTTTTCGGTTTAGTTTAGTTCGTTGTGCATTTCATTTTCGCTCTCAGCTTTTTTCATATTTTTACTGGAGCAACTTTTCATAATCCGTATCTGTATCTTCGTTTTGTATCTTTTTGTTGGTGCGACTTGTTCAGTCAATTTAATAATTTGCTACTAGTTTTTGCCCTCCCTTCCCAAATTAGTTGACACTGTGGGGCGATTTGCAGCCAACATTATTTGCATACTTTTGGGTGGGCGCTTTTGTTGCGGTCGTGGCCACATGTCGGATACTTAATGTCCCTCCAACCCACAAACATTTCGAGCACGTTTCGTGTTGGATCAGCTTTAATGTCCTAACTAGCAATTTCATCCAAATCAAGCGGTAATCCAATTAGATGTTAGTCCAACACTTTTCAAGCTGGACAGAGTTAATTGAAAATTCCATTAAATTTGATGGAAATTATTTCCCAGGATGAGTAATTGAAATTTACATCTGCTGGTCAGTTTCGAGTGGGCTGCAGGTGACAGAACTCCAAATCAAGTGATCTTATATGGAATTCCACTTAATTATGTGTATCTTTACCTAAATATTTAGCTTATGTAAATTTAAATTTTATCTTTCGAGTCAAATAAACTTTTCAGGTACATATTTTAGTTTTCAGTTAAACAGACAAGTGTCGGTCACAGACCATCGCGTAACTTCAGTAAACAAGAAAACAATAAAAACTTTATCCACAGCGACAACAACAAAAATAGCAACAAGCAACAATTACAAACAACTTGCTATCGATTTTTTTGGAGCGTCCATGTTTGCCATGGCGCCATTGTTCGAAGTCACGAACTTTCCAGTGACAGAAAAGACAAGAGCAGAAATAAAGTTGATTAAACCCATTGAAAATTTTCCTGGCCTTTAACGTAACCCATAAAGCCACGTATATATAAAGATTGTGGGCGGCCAAACAAGAAAGGCTAAATGGCGGCATTGTTGCGTTGAAGGCAGCTCTACAAATTATAAATGTGGACAACTCAACAAATTGTGAATTAATCCATTGTTCTGAAAGAGTTAAAAGTGAGCAGAGAGAAAGCCAATGCTGCTTCCCCCTTTAGGTTTTTCTTTATTAAGTCCCTACATTGTAATAAACTTTACCATTTTTCCAAGCAAAATATAGGAGGTTAATAATATTCTTACTTATAATTACCATAACTTTATTTATGAATAAGTAATAAGCTAAGTAATAATTGCAAAACACATTTCCTTCCATCTGCTAGATATTAACAATGTAATGTTGGGATTTTGCTAATAAACCCCTTTAGTAATCCGCAATGTGCATTGATGGCCTGCCCTTCAATCAAATTTACGCAAAATGAAATCCATATTTAATGAGCTTAGCCTCCCGCAGACCATAATGGACCATAATCTGTTGCATTAAAAGTTATTAAAATGTCATGGTGGATGGCAAAAATTTATGACCAGGCAAATGTGGTAATTGAAGAAGGGCACTTGACCCAGTTTCGGTGGCCAGTAGATTGCAATTGGAAATTGGCAGTGCGAGCACTAAGAGCAATCTGCATGCAGCCATGCCTAATTAAATAACTCGGCGGGTAAATGCAGTGAAGGGTTAAGGGAATGCAGGTGCTTTTCCGGAGTGGAATGCCATATTGCGATGGCAATAGCAATTGCAATAGCGATGGAGATCGAGCGGAGTCGAGTGCAGTTCATTCGCATTTCAATTAAAATGGAAGTGCAGACACAGAGACACAAACAGGCGGCGGGCACTCAACAAATGGCAAACCACTCAGAGGGACGCTAAGCCGTTTAGGCTTAAGTCAGCTTATTGCTCGGAAAAGTGGAACACGCGACGACATAGTTGACACACGACTACGACTACGACGACGACGACCTGTTGGAAACCGAGAATTTTCCAATAATCGAACGTACACGTTTAATTAATGCCAGCCAATGGTTATTGAATAAAACTTCTGCTGTCTCCACGGGTTTTTTAATTTGATTGCATTGTTTAATTTGGATTTTAGTTCGAATAGATTGTGGTACATTGCCTACCCCTTATACAAAAAAGAAAAGGATTTTTTAAAAGCAAAAAAGAAAAGATAATCCTCTTATTTTGATCACCACAAAACTCTAAAGGCTTTTAAACATTTGATAAGGAAATAAGATGGAATATATTTATTTTTTCTCAAAAAGAGGGTATGTTAATAATAACTTCTTGTATTTGTACAAAAAACCATTAACCAAGTTTTTATTTAATTTTCAATAGTTGCAAGGTACAAGTCGCGTTATGACAATTATCATCAAAAATTTAATTATTTTCATTCAAGGATGCCCTTAACCAAACTCTACTGTGCATGCTTATGATTCATCGCTGAGGTGAGCCATTTAACCCAACTAATTGCACATTTTGACAGTTTGCGGTGCAAACGTTTGCGCAAAGTTAACGCAAAATGACAAAGTGCAAATGTGCAACGGTCGTGTGGAGATAGAGCAGGAATTGCGATTGGGAATCGGTATGGGATGGTGGTGCACTCAGTGGTGCATTTAGAGGGGGTGGTGCGAAATGTCTGCGTGGTATCACATTCTGTACACAATAAGCCGGGGTCAGCTCGATGACGATGTTGGCCAACACAAAGAAAACTCGAACACAGAAACATCGCAGAAAAGCCAACTTGTTATTTTCTATGCCCCGGAGAGCAAAACTGAAAAAAGGAACAGAAATCGAACAGCTGCTATTCGAACATGTTTGCCTTGGGAATTTCCGCGAACTTGTTGGGTTATGTAACATGTTTTCAGTTGAACACTTTCGAAAAAGTTGCAGTTAAATATTTCATTCATAATTAAAACTGAATAAAGCAATTGCGGTGGATATTCACGGATGACCGCGACCACAGTCCCTTAAAGTGAAGCGGAAGTGTGCCACGCCCGCAATTATTACCTGCACAGTTGTGGTCAGGATAATAGCACTGGGAGCTCAAGTTTACACAGATAAACTAATTAATTGTAACAGGTATTTCTTTAAAATTTAAAGTAATATTTTTTAGAATATTATAACTAAAAGCACCGTTTTAATAGATTAGCTGTAAATTAAGGATATGGTTTACATTTATAAACCTTATTTCAAGGAATCAAATTTAATGCTTTCAAAAATGTTAAACCTCTTAAAGGTTTTAAATTTTTGTTAACGCATAAATTGTAAATATTTATATTTTAAATTTCAACACGGCTATACATGTTTTATTTAAAACCAGCACAACTCTTTCCCATTTCATTGATTGTTTGAGTAATTAAACAATTGAACCGAGCAATCCCCTTGATCCCATTTTCAGATCGAACTTTTCGAGGCTTCGTCCTTTTCAGTTATATATTTGTTTTATTTTTTTGTGCATCATACCCTGTTTCGTAAAAGGGCTTTGGAAAGGATTTGTTTTTTTGTTCGAGGACCTGCCTAAAATGTCGAAGGGGAAGAGTTCAAATGCTCTTGATCCTGTCACAGCCACTTAAATGCCATGCATCATGGAAATTTATGTGAATAAATTATAATCAAGCAAAGAAAAACTTACAGACCGTAATAATTCAGATTAAAATGTATTTATACACATGACACAGTTGGTGGGGGGGATGGCGGGAATTCGCGCTGGTGGAATGGGCCCATGGGAAGGGGGCGTGGCAGTTGGTATATTGGGATGTTGGCTGTTGGTTGTTGGGTGGGCTTATGCTGCTGGTCACGCGTGTTGGCCGCGTGTGTCCAGCGCTGATTTCGCCATAATAAATTGACATTTTTTGGACATTCCTCTTGAAGTGGCCACTGTTCTGCTTTTCGCTTGGGGAAACTGGGAGCTGTCTGTCAGTTAAGCTCCTCCTCTTTTTTTTCATTTTCCCCCTTTTGGCTGGTGGTTTCTGCTGTTTTTACAAGGTCCCTTGGGCGAGCAGATTACTGAGTTGAATCGAGGACGATCTCAAGGATATGAATTCGGCACTTTCGAAATTAATACTTTGGTCGAATTGCTTCTTAAAATTTCCTAGGCCAATTAAGATGCAATATTACTTTTTTGAATGGCTTGAAGTTCTTGAAGCGTTTTTTACATTGTGGTTTAAGTTCTTCGGTAGGTTCAGAAAGGAAAAGTAGTCAATTCTTATTTTAGAGAAAATAACTTAGAGGTAGGGTTTGTAAATCAAAAAAGAACTGAAGGTAGTATGTATTAGTATATCATGGTAAGTAGATTATAAGCCGTACTTAAATTTTAAACCTTTTTGGTTCTGCATCCTGCAAAATCCCTAGTCTGTATGTAAATAAACAATGCTAATGCGGAATTTCCTTCACAAAATCTGGACAATCAAAACTCCCGGATTTCCCCCATGAACACAAAAAAGCCAGCCAGAAATAACAGGAAAAAGCAATAAGCATTCAAATAACAAGTAGCATAAGAACAGCGAACAAGCAACGACAAATAATTTGGCACAAAAGCAAATAAACAAGATAAACAAACAAACAAACACGAGGAGAAGACGTTGAAGACGCAACAACAACACTGAGGAAAGCAAAGACAAAAGCGAGCCAAGTACCAAAGCACATAATGAGCATAATGGGCGTGTTGAGAGGGGGAAGGGTGCTTACTGGGGGTCACATTGCCCCCATGCATGTAACCCCCCTTCAACCCCCCGACAACCCCCTTCCATGGACATGAAGAGTGCCAAAGAGCTTTTTGTGTTGGTTTCTCTCTTAGTGCTAGAATAAGCGCCACTTTACATGCACACACACACACGCCAATCACATACGCACACACTCGAGGACTGAAAAAAAAACTTCTTTAAATTTTAAACTTCTGCAACCTTCAACTACATATATAACGGCAATGTTATAAGTAATAACTAACCAAAATTCAAATAAAAATGTAACCTAAAAACAAAGTTTGTCTGTTTACACAATTATTAGATTTAGGCTTAGAATTTTTAATATATCCTATAAAATAACCCCATTGTATTTCAAAACCAATAATAAACAAAATTATTTATAAATTTTTGTTTGTGTAATATGTATGTGCAGCTTAAATTCAGGGCTAATTATTATTGATTTAAAGATTCTGGGCTGACTTTTGACATGCATTGTTTTTGATCTTGATCTAATTAAAACTAGGTTCTCTATTTATTATTACAATGTGTTGTTTTTTAATCTAATTTTAGTAAAATGTATTAATTTTTCACCAAAATTCCCATAATTAAGGCTGTTGTTCAAGCCATTTTCACCAGTGCACTCGCCGAGGGGCTTGGGCAAAGGAGATATTAGGGTTGTCACCCCTCCTGGCGGGATGCAGTTACCAACCAGCTGCATCTGTGAAACGAGGGCAAAGGCACGTCGCCAACCATTTAAACTAATCTTGAGGCAGTTTATTTATATATCTCAAGGGTCGTTTGTCCTAACAATGTGCCCTACATATATAGGAGCAGATATATACGCAGATACGGGGATAAATGTATGTATATATACCTGAGTTAAGTCCAGGTAAGCTATAAAAAAGGGGAGCGAACCAAACGAAAAGGGTTGTGTCGCCAACTCCCCCAAAGTAGATTCGCTTGAGTTCTATATATTTTTGAAAACACATTAAGGGGACTGTTACATAAAAACGAATTAACGAAATCCTGCAACGGCGTTCTATTTCTTAGATAATCAGAAAATATTGTTCCCATTACAGAGAATGCAGGTACAAAATGCAATATTTTATTTATTGTAAATGTTATTTATTACTATTGTCCGAACTTTAGGAACATCGGTGCGTATACGTTATGTATTTATTTATATGTATATTTTTCATATCCTTAAATTGCTTCACTTGTTGTTGAACTAGGGGTTTAGTCTGCATTTTATTTAAATGTACATAAGATGTCCTAAATTGATTTTCCTGGCCTGCTAGCTTGTTGATTCTCATAATCTGTATTAAAAGGACTTCAATTACATAAATGCATTGAAATACCCCGCTTCCATGCCACACCTTCACCTCCAGTTGAATGGTTCTTGGGGCTTGGGTCGGAGTTGCACACTTCACTGACCTTTACCCTAAGTAATACCAGTTGTAAGGCTATTTAATTTCTATATAAATATTATGGCATAGACCACAAATCTGCGGGTCATAAGCCGCAAGGACACTACGCCGCAGGACACGCAGCTCCTTGGAAGCTTACGAGTCCGTCAGGCTCGCCAATCCTCGCCAAGCCTCAAGTGCATGCTCCACTGAACTTGTATTAAAGCAGCCGGAAATTAAACACACAAAAGTTTTCTAAGACCTAGCCCGCACCTTTACTAGTACATATGCAAGGTGTTACACAGAAAAAAAGACCGCATAATCATAAAACTAGAAGTTCAAGAAAGTAAACATAAAGTTTAACCTAGTCACTTTATGCTGAAACTCTTGTTTAAAGTTGTTTATAGTTTTTTTAAATTAAAAATTATTTAATGAAAACATTTCACTGCCTAAAGAAACATTTGAAGTATTTCTAATAATTTTTTTCTCTGTACTCGTGTATTTCTTGCTAGTGCTTTGCATTTTTTTTTGACTCGTTCTGTATTTTCATATTTTTTTTCTCACAACTTTCCTGGCTAGCAAATGCATTCAAAAATGCGTTTCAGCTTGTGGAGCTTTAAAAAAGTAAATCCTGCCATTGTGATTGAAAGGAAGTGATTTGCACTCACCAAATATAACTCGGCAGCCAGTTCAATGGAATCCTTTATCGCTTTGTGTCTGCATAGGCGCACAAGACGCGAACCACTGAAAGAGATAAACCCATTAAAGCCAAGCAATTATTAAATGGATATCAACACCGAGTGCCCGCACATTTTGGCACTTCAAGATTGTCTGGTTATAGTGGGCTGATGCTTGGATTAATTCCCCTTTGTCCGGGTCACAGGGCAACAACAACAAGCAACAGATGAGTAGCTTTTAGAGGGAATTGAACGCATGATGAAGGAAAGGAAGGGTTTGGGAAGGGGTTTCGGAAGGAGTTTAGGAAGGGGTACCACCAACTTGGAATTCCCCAGCATGTGCCGCTGGCGCAAATGATGGAAATCACTTAACACTGAGGGTGGAGGACTGGATGGCGATGGCGATGACAACAAGGATATGACAGGAGTGGGTTCTAATGCCGCTGGAGTGTGGGTCCTGCGAGTGGGAAAAGAGATTGTGTCTGAGTTCTTAATGAGCTTTTGTCTGCTGCATACTTTTCAGCGCCGAGCTCGGGAGACAAGACTTCTGCGTCTTGGGCTTTGTTCAAATATTTGACAGGCTGCCAAGGGGGACGTGGCAGTCCCTCGGCCATTATTGCCAAGTTTCTCAAGGAATAGCGAAGAACTAATGAAAAATCAGAGCAGAGGGTTCGCTGGGAGAAGTTTAGCTTTGACAAACCTTGCAGATCATTTCATTAGAATGCAAATGCAAAAAACTAAAATTGCTATTCATAAACAAAAAAATAAAAGAGAAAACAAAAACCACAGGCGCGCTTTAAAGAATATAATGAATAAATAAAACAAAATAAGTTTTAAAAAAAGGGTTTTATATACCTTCTGTGCTTGGAAAATTTAAAGTGTATTAATGATATTTAATATTTAATCCTAAAAATGATCCTTGTACTAATTTGCAAATTTCAGCCACAAATGATTAGGAATATTCATAAGCTTCAGTAGAGAAAATCCAAAATGATTATCTACGCATCAGAATTTAATTAAAATCTTAACTTCTAATAAGTGTCCAGTTAATTATTATGATTTTGCATAAGATTTGCTGCTTTCCGGCTGCAATAACAACATCAATATCTTGTTTATGAGCTGCACACAAAATGAAAATTGCTCCACTTATTTAATACACTTAAGCCATCAACTTGGACTTGGTGCACATGACCACACGTCCGAAATCACTTACGGCCAAGTTCAATCAAACGAGTTAATAACTTCCGCAATGTGCCAGCCAAAATTAACCATAATTCACATGCTACGGCCAACTAAACTGACCTATTAGCCTTCTGGATTTCGGACTTGGGGGTCTTGGCCCGGGTTTTGCGCTTGAATGGATGGTCGCTGGTGGCTCGGTGTCCGAGTGGGCCACGTTTATCCGGGGCCAAGACAACTGGGTGGCTGTCGGGGGGACTGGTATATGGTAATTTTAGCGCTTGTCTCTCCACGGACTCTCACACGGCAATCAGCACACACAAGCCCAGGTACACAATGAATAAAAATGCCGGAGCACATGTCACATTTGCCACATGAGTTAACGTAGCTCATTTATCATGGCCCCCTGTCCTGCAACCTGCGTCCTGCGTCCTGCGATGTCCTATATCCTTCTGTCTCCCTTAGGCGGCAAGGCGGTTCAAGGTGACCAAGGCATTTGCCGGCCAATCTGAGGTCGTGTTTTCACGTCAACTTGAAAAAAATTGTGTGCCCTTTGATTAAGTGTAAAGCAAAACATAAATAAATTATGTTTTTAGCAGGCTTTTCAGATATAACTAATGGTAGGTTTAAGAAACTAAAATAAACAAGCATTGTAAAATTGGTTTAAAAATTAATAAAGGATAATTCTACTTAGTTTTTATTTCATTAAAAATTCTATACAATTTAATACATTTAAGAAATCAAGTACATTTTCTAAATACGAAATATAAGAAAATCATTTGAAAAACACTTTTTTTACTTGTCTCTAAGAACTAAGGTATTTTCTCTGCTAAAGAAGCCTACTTCTTTTCACGTGTAAGAATACATGAGTACACATAACGCCAAAATCTAATTGTGGCCCCTGGCCATCGGCAGATGGTGGCGGAACTTTAATTACGGTGGCCACGACTCCTCAAACTGAATGGACTCCATTCCCAGTATCACAATGCAATATTTATTAGTGCGTGTGTTCGTGCTCCCTGGCCTCCACATATACATACATATATGTATATATATATAGTAAAAATGTATGCATGCGAACATACACTGTGTGTGGTATGGCATTATATGTCGCCTGACTAAATTTAGATATGCAAATCGATAAAGGAAAAAAAAATACTAAGGCACGCACGCATTTTTAGTGCCCAAGTTTTGCCTCGAAACGTTTTTTTCATGCAGACTTCAGCCTAGTAGTTCGAGTCGGAGTCGGAAAAAAAGGGCTAGAACTGAGGGACATGTGCATAAAGGTCGCGCTTTTGTTATAATTGTATAAAGATAGTAAAGGTCTTTCCCCGGCAAAGCGATTTACAAAGCTGCCACGAGGATTCGCCCCCAACTGAGGCTCAAGATTTAGGCTAGTCTGATAGCATTTCACATGAAATGCCAACTCATTTGTTTGCTCTATTGAGTGGTTGGGCAATAAAGTCGAGCACAATATATTTAAACGGGGATATAATGTATTTGAGTCATGAGGATTGGTAATCAATCACTCTTCCAAACTATTTCTCAATACTTTTAATTAAATACAAGAAAAGTTTGCACAAGTTCTACTTATAATTATATTACCTATTTTAACACTAAATAATACTTTTTCCTTGAACTCAAAAAACTTAAATAGCAATTACTTTAAATCGGTGTCAGGTGCTTGGGCTTTCAGTAACTGTCCGACTCAGTCGTTTACCCTTAATTATATTGTTCGGCGGCTTCTTAATCGTAATTATAGGACTCCTGCCTGAAAAATGGTTTCCCTTGCAGTTTAGCACTGTGGGAACCTTAACTTTTGTTTTACTTTCACTAATTGAACCAATCGGGGCCACACAAACACCAGCATATGTTTATAGCCATTCATATATCTTTTCCCGTTTGCCTGAGAGCTCTGTGCAATATTTATGGGCATATATTGATTAAATAATTAGGCCTAGGCAAGAGACCAATTTACAGAGATATAAATGAAATTTATGTCAAATGCCAGAGAATATAAATTTTTGCCCAGGCAAAGGCTGCTTGTTCAGTTGCATTTCATTTCATTTAATAAAGCAAATTGCACAAACTGGGCGAGTAGAGCAACGTAATTAATAATTTATATGCTTGTTAACACTTTTTTCCCTACTTGTTGTTCAACATTTTCTCTGCTGGTATCCCCTTTTTTTATTTGTTGTTTTCTTTGTCAGGCGCAGCCCCTGGATATTTGAGCAGGGCTCAGGCGAAATAGGGTTAAGTTTTTCAGCCAGACCGAGATAGACAAAGTGAATAATAAAGCTGTAGCCAAAGTGGAGCAGACCCGGCTAAAGTATGTGGCAAAAGGTAAGAGAAGCACGAAATTTCGTGATGGATTTGGCTGTCGGTCTTTCCATTAATAAAGCGAATGGCTTAAAAGGAGGAAAAGTTAAAGAAATCGTGATTTTGTAACTACCAAGAACACCTTATTAAAAATAATGAAGTATCACACAGAGCTTTGTAGAGTTTTGAATTACTTAAGTAAGCTTTTCAAAATATTGTACTAATTAAAAACTATGTTGTACTTACTCATACTATTTTAAATATTTAATTTAGTAAACTACAATAACTTTATTGCCAATTACAATTCTTTGTTGTGATTTACAAATCTATTTAGAAGTTATTAAAATTAAACAGACAGTTTTGATTTCAGCTGTAATTATTATTAAAACTTTAATCAATGCACAAAACCATTTGTGTTTAATTTTAACGAGACAATCTATTTAATAATGTAATTTGATAAAATCTATTTGAAAACGTGTATAATTAGGTGTACATAGCAACTCCCTGTGGCTTACATGCGGATTTATTTGAAATAAATACAACTTTTTGCTTGTAATGTCAAATCCCATTGGAATTCCGAGAAAAATAGTTGAAATCGCGGAAAATGCCGAAAGTCACTCGCTCACATATTGATGGATATTTATGGCGTTCGTGGTTGGGAAGCGGAAAAGCTTCAAAATACGTGCATTATTTAAATCCCTGGCAGGAGCACACGGATATGCGGATATGGCCAGCGGACATGGCTCAATCAAGCCAGCCAAATAGCCACGGGCTCCGAGAGCGTCTAAATTGGCTTTGTAACTGTTTGAATTTGTTTATCCAGCATTTTATTTGGCCAAATCTGCGGGGCAGCGGAGATTTCGTTTGTGGCGGTGGGTTCACCTATCGATTTTCCCATCGAAACTCCGGCTATTTAAATGCTATATTTTTTCGGTGCCAAATATTTGCTCTTATTGTGTGTTTTTACCACTAATTGCTTGCAGGGGATAAATGGCGAACAAGTTTGTGAGTTTGGGGACTAATATTCAAATAGTGTATACTATCTAGAATTCAACAACTTTTAATTCGGTTTATTTCTTTTGGGGCTTGGTTTAAAAATTGGGGAAATTTTAGCGAAAATGCAAATGTAAAAGTTAAAATAAATTGCAATTTGCTATAAACATTTTTTATGGCCAAATTAAACTATTTTGAAGGCTCCCAAGAGTTAAATTAAAAATGAACAGTCATGGAATTGACATAAATGAATGAATAAATGAATTAGATAATACTCTAATTACTCCAACAAATCAATAAATAATGGTTGCTGCATAAATCATATAGAAGAGCAAATTATTTGTTTCCGAGTATAAAAGCGAAACCAAATAAAATTTTAGCTTTTCAACTAAAAATATTAACTTCAGTTTTAAATGCCTTTTTTCCCTACAAATCATTTTCGTATCTTTTACAAACACCCTAGATGGTTATTCTAAATTGATTACTTAGAGCAAATAATAAATTCTGCAGGAGCACAAACATTCCCCTCGCAGTCCGCAAATAGCAAAGTTAATTAGTTTTATGCACAACCTTTGT